AAGACTGGAATTAATTAAGCGTACTAAAAGCATGCCTTAAAAATAGCAGAATTTTTGAACAATTTCAAGAAAATGACTGCAAGAAATATATTGAAATGTATTTTAAGCTTATCTAAAGGGCGTAGTCGCAAAAATTGTCAGCTCGCTACGCTCGCAAGAAAGCTTTATTCAGAGTTATACCAAGGGCCTCCGACAACCTCTCGCCGACCCTTCCCATTGTTGGTTTTTTAGTCAAATAGAGCTATTAACTTGAGCCCCCTCCCCCACTTTGAAGTTCTTGGCAACGCCCCTGGACTGCCAATATTGTCAGGAAAAAGACAATAGTTTTAGTTATGGAGGGCGCCATTTTGATTCTGGCCCCCCTAGGCGAAAAGGGCCAGGCCGCCACTGCCCAACATCATGGAAGAAAGCACGCATTGTACCCATTGGTAAAATCACAAATCCTTCGGAAAAGAGTGAATTTCATCCTATCTCGATCCCACCCGTGCTGTCTAAGGTATTTGAAAGACTCGTTGCAATCAATTAGTCGATTTCATTGAGTCTATGAATATTTATAAAAACACAGTAGCCGGTTTTCGTAAAGGCTTTTGTACAGGTCATTCACTTCTAAAAATAAAAGACGATGTAAGAAGAGCTATGAAATATGGTGAGTTATCACTCCTATTTTTGTGGATATCTTAAAAATTTCTAATACATTCGCTCGTGACACACTTCTAATGAAAATGTACCAACAAGACTTTGCTAAAGATGTAGGGAACTCCCTGCTGTATTCCTGTCCTTCAGTAGTCACGTGACTCAGTTGTGTATTTATGTTTTGTTTAGGCCTATCGTCCCCATTCGGTTACAGTCTTTCGCAGTAAGCTAAAGTTCTTTCGAATATAGTAACTAACATTATTGTAACCGATTTTTTCCAATATGGATGTGAAAGTAAAATGTTTCCACGGAACTGGCGATGTAAATGTTTTTCTGGAGAAAGTTTCGTTGCATTCGTCACTGAAGGGATACGATGGAGAGAAAGCTGTTCAGAATTTGGCAAGCAAACTTGAGGGTCGATGTGTACATGCGATTATCCGCAGATGACTAACAAAGAATTCCTTTTGTAAACAACAAGCTATTTAACACCCCGTAGACAAGACGTTCAAGTTGATGCGAAATCATCGGACACTGTGTCTACAGCATTTGGTGTACCACAGGGATCCATCCTGGGATCAATAATATGCAATCTTTATGTAAATGATCTAGAAAATCATTTTCTTATCAAGTTCGGTACAATATGCTGACGATACGACAATGTATGGAACGTGTAATCCAAAGGACTAAAATGCCCAACATCTGCGGAACAGTTTCTTAAGGAAAGTAAATGAATGGTCTGATCAAAACTCATTGGCAGCAAATGCAGTTAAAACCAAATATCTATTATGTGCATATAAACGCTTGTACGACTACCACAACTCAAAAGAAAAGGAAATCAACCTTGCATTAGGTTTTACGAAGCTGCAACTGGACAAACAACTGGACAAACGGCCGCGTTATCTGGAAATAACCTTTGCCCAACATTTGGACTGGGGAAAGCATATCAAACACATCTTATCCACTTGCTGCGGAAAACTGTCTGCACTCCGCAAAATGAAAAATTTTAATTTTTTTTTCAGCGAGAAAAATGCTTGTGGAATCCTTGATCCTGCCAAGGCAGTGTCAACTGAAGAAACTTCAGCGACTACGAACAGCAACTGCAAGCTTTGTCAAAAAACGCTATGCATATACAGAAGACATACTGAAAATTGGATGGTTACCAATTGCTGCGAGACACAAATTTAACATCCTGAAATTCGCCTTAAAAGCCATCAATAATAGAAACTGGCCCGAAATCAATAGACTTTTGAGATCCAAACTTATGGTAGAGCATTGCGTAGCAGTAGTGAGACCCGTATTAGACCTTCAATGATCCAAAATACTTTTCAAGATGCCGTTGCAAGTAGCTGCAACCCTCTACCTAGTTATATCAAACAATAGACTAAATTCAGCAAGTTTTGCGCTGATATTCACACATCCTTGATGAAGAAAACAAAGGAGTCACAGAACTAAGATCTTTTTAACTTAATGAATTTGACTTTATAATATTCTTCTTGTTTCATGTAATTGCTTTAAATTGTAAAATAGATTTAAGGTTTAGCTCTGAAGAGCTACACCTATTGTGGACATGATCATTTATGCCATATAAAAATAATAGTGAATCAAACATTGACGAAAGATTTACACAAACAAAAGACTTCAACGCCCATGAGGAATTATACAATTAAGTATGTCCGAGGGCGGGTTTTTAACTTTCTGAATTTTGGCAATAACCAATGTTACGAAAAATAGATGTTTGTGCCCTGTTTATCCCCTTTGGCCCCCCTACCTGCTCAAACCTGCGTCCGGCGGCCTTGATACACTACACTGCTATGGCCACCGCGAGGCAGCATACCTCGATCTGAGGCCTCCCGCACTCCACACTGCAAATCCCACCAAGGGGCAGCTCGCCTCATGTTGAGGCTCCACATGCGCTACACTTCTACTTCTTCTACTTCTACTTCTACGAATTTAGTCAACGACTTCAATACTTAAGGCACTGTTGATGGTAAGAAAAACAAAAACAAACAAAAACACACAAAAAGTTAACAACAAATAATAACAAATAACTAAGTTAAGCAACTGAGCAGCAGTTCCGTGACTAAGATACACTGCAAATGACCTCTCATGGTCTATATTGCAATGCCGATCAAACCAAATTTGCAGGAATAGGCAAAGCCTCTTGTTCTCCTGTAGATACGGGACTAACGGCGAGCCATCGCACTCTGACCAATCCAAAAATGTATCACCTTTATAGCCTTCATTAAAAGTCCCGGCGGAGCAAACAAATATACTACTGTATACACAAATGTTACTATCGGCCGTAGGCGTAGAAGCTGCACTAAACCACACAAGGTATGCAGCAATGCAATATATTATGATCTAGTAAGATCTAGTATCTGCAGTTAAAACTTTGTGTTTTTTGCTCTGATATAAGGAACTCTTAGAAATTGAGCTACGAAAATGGGTGCCTCAAAACCAGAACTATGAAAGGCGGCAAATTAAAACATTTGGACATGGATCATAATCATTTTAAATGACAAACCAGAAAATATGCCCTGGGAAAAGTGTTAGGCACTGATCATCGCTCAACATTGATAATTGGTGAAATGTTCTGAGCAGCTCTTCTTCAAAATATTCACGAGTTACTTCATCTTCTCAGGAGCCAAGAACAACTACACTTTGCATACACAACGTTGGAATCCAAAAAAATGATTTGAAACGATTAGCAACAGGAGCTAAAAACAAAAAAAGGGGCGCATGTGAGCCCCAGTACCGAAAGCATAGAAAATACGGAAAACTTTCCGATCCCAAGTTATGTATGAAGACAATTAAAAGGCAGACAGAAAAAAGACATAATTTTCAATGCTACGCTTTTAGTTCTTTGGTATCCAAAATTATCTTGAGTAAACGCACATCAAAAACAATCTCAGTTATTAAAGATACTTAACTTAATGCCATGCTTTTCCAGTGCCTCAACGAAAGACTGGGTCGTTTGAGGGCTTGGTTGAAAAGTGGAGGGCCGTAAGAAGAGAGGGAGATTTTCTAGCAAAATACGTTTTAGATTCAGGACGTTTGTTCTTGGTAAAGAGATAAGCTAACGGCGGCCAGGTTATCTTTATTAACTCCTTTTAAGGTTGACTAACCGGGTTGTGCCCAAATTTATTACCGCTCTTATCTCCGAGTCTTGTGTAAATCAAAGCCCTGCAAATGAGCGCTTTTCTCCAAAATGAAACCAGTGTTCTTAATCTTCAACGTAAGTATAAACGCCGATGGTCTAGAACGCGTACATTTCTTACATTCGTTGACAATTTTCGACTTTGCCGCTATATTTCTGAATTGACCAGCAAAAAAACAACATAGTGAAATTTGGTATGCTAGTAAGACTTGTTTCCAAAGAAACATTTACTCTGAGGAATGTCAGACGTAAAAGCTGTCAGTGTGTTGTAGAATGTTTGCTTGAAATGTTGTTAAACGCAAAAAATTGTTTAAATTTGAATCTACCAAGAACTTTTTAATGAATACGCGAGAATTCTGGTCCGATGCATGAGTGTGAGAAAAAACTGAAATGAGTGCGTCTCACGCAAAGGTATCCAGAAAGATACCTTTGAGGTTGAATTCTATAGGTTCCCTGGGCATTAACGGAAAATCAACACATACCCCCTCGAGAGCACTAGCAAAGGTTGTCTTTGTTTGTATCAGTCGTTGCTCCACACACCCACCGTAAGAAAGCTTGGACGTCAGATCTCGCTATCTCGTGCTGCTCTTCAAAACAAAGTTCAAGCTTTGAGGTTGAACTGAGTCAAACATTGGATGCAGCAAAGAAACAGGGAGCAATAATGTTGCAGCTGGAAATAACAAGGCTTTTGTTCGATTCATGTGTTAAACTTGAATCAAGGACTTGAGAAAAATCTGAAAAATTTTTTAGGTTAAAACAGTGAAGTAAACATCTGAACGTTATTGGACTTCAAAGTGGAAGTAGGAAATAAAATCAAAGTAAATGACAAAATGATACGGTGGTAACAAATAAATCTTTATCTGCTTAAAGAAAGGGATAATAAAAGACATAATAATAATAAAAACGGCTGCCCATATCAAAAAGTCCTCTCATCCATGAATGAAGATAGGCCATTTGTGCTAGTAAGGTCTTTAGAAATTCGTGATGAGTCACATCTCAAAGCAATGATACTAGATTTCGATCTCAATTTAGAAACTAAATATGTTTCTTAGGAAAGAATTCCCATTTGATACTAGGAGCATTGATTACCCTTTGCCGAAAAATGTGAAAAATCTTTTTCTTCAGTGAAAATGATTCTTTTCGGCGATTAGGTATGAGGCTTCGAAAGCTGGTTGATCAAGCAAAATGCAAAAAGAAAACAAACAAAAGATACAACAATATTCATACACATTCATACGACAAAATAAGAATCAGTATTGCGTGTCGTTTATGGAAATTCAAAGGAGAGAACCTAGTTTGATTACCTGGTGAACTTAAAATGAAAGGATAACAAGTCTAGTACATATAACACTGTGATTTCTAAAAGAGCAACTCATCAGAGATCTGACCAGGCAAATATTTTTACATAGGAAGTTTCAATTTTCAAACAATCTCAATATAGTGCGTTAATCTACATAAAAAATTGTTTCAACTTGATTTGTAGACCAGTTTCCGAGTCTTCAGAACCGCCCACTTGTGTCTTTTGTAGTATAAGCAGATGAGTGCCAGAGCAGACACGATCGTCAAGGCCTGAAAAGAAGGACGACATAAAAGTTGAAAACAAAATCAAATTCACGAACACTTCTAAACAAGGTCGCTTTTAAACATAAATACCTAATGAGATGACAGCCTTTCGGCAGCTCAAGGTCTAAATGGAGGGAGAACTGTTTCGGGTAAAACTTGATTCATCCTTAGATGAAAGTAATTAAAGGCAGATCACCATTTCACAACAAATCGACAAGATTGGACAAGCGAAGCCTTCCACCCGTTTGTCACAAAGGGCTTTTTATATGTGGGATGAAATTGGTATCTTCGTATTTAAATTCAGATTCTTAGAGAGTGCGGTAGCACGATATTTCAAACATTGAGGAATTCGCACATGCAATAACACTGGGAAAGAAAGTTAAGGTAAAAATATGAGAGTTGCAACATTTCGAAATCGATAGAAGAGTACCAGGAGCAATAAAATAGAAGTAAGACGCAAAGAAGAACAATACAATAAAGGTGCTTGGTTGAACACTAAAAAGATATTTTTGTAGTGAGAAGACGACAGCTCAACTTTAGAATCCTGTACGATCAACAAAACTTTCGCAGAAATTTGAAAATAACCCACCTTGATTCCCATTCGCTTTCTATCATCTAATTCAGGTTCTGAAAAAAACAAGTATTGTATGATTGTACAACACACAGGAGACATTCAATATCGACTAAATTAACAAATCTTCACAAACTAAGTTGATTCTAATCGACTCCGTTGACTCTCTGAACCGGCTTTCAGAAGAAAAAATGAACATACCGACATTTAAACTTTCACATAAGTTGGCACCAATTTCAAAACTTAGTCTCAACAAGTACTTTTTTCAGTTATTCGAAGTTGCTTTATTTTCCTTTAATTGACAACAGCTAAGGTGTTGAGAGTCCATAGCTCAAATCTGCTTGATTGACATGGAAAATTCGTGCAGTTGACACGTCTTCGACAACTCATAGGATCACCGACATATTATAGGGACCACCGACATATTATAGGGACCATCGACATATTATAGGGACCACTGACATATATATTATAGGGACCACCGACATATTATAGGGACCACCAACATATAATAGGGATCACTGACATATTATAGGGACCACAGACATATTATAGGGACCACCGACATATTATAGGGACCACCGACATATAATAGGGATCACTGACATATATATTATAGGGACCACCGACATATTATAGGGACCACCGACATATAATAGAACTTGTTGGAGTAAATTTGAAACAAGATACCTGATGCCCATCGAAGGAAGGTTGAAACATCTTTTGCCATTTGACTAACTGTAGCAGGAGTACCTAAAATGAAACAGAAATTGATGATTGGGAGATTCTGAAAGGCAATCGACAAATACTTTCAATCAAGGGGCTTAAGCCATCTTTCAATCAAAAATTGACCAATCAGTGAATGTGATACCACTAACACGCACACTTTAGCCACTTTTATAGCTGCCAATTGTCTGTAAAGGTTTTAAGACAACAGCAAAGGCATTGGACCAAGTTTCCAGTAAAATCTGAGGATTGCGTTGTAAAAATCTATCTAACTGTTTAAAAGAAACTTTCCATGTATTGTATCAAACGTATCGCGTCAAAAATCACAAGCAAGAAAAGGGAGCTGGCTAATGTCATCTTAAGGGCAAACAAAATTTAAGGCACTATGTCCCGATGCAATTCTATGGCCATTTAAATCCAATTGGCTGGGCTTACAATAGAGACGTAAGATTAATCCTGAACCTCTTTCAGTTAAGAACACACCGAAAAGCATACTGTTAACTCCAAACGGTTGACTAACAGGACATAGTGCCCTTAAAAAACGATGAACACGAATAATAACACTAATAAATTAATTGAAGCTCTTTCGTGTTGTGCCACAAGTCATGTTTGGTAGGTCGAGAGGATGGTCTTCCACATCAGCACTGATAAGAGCTGAATCACCTTTTTTAGAAAGCTTTTTGATGATTTTGGAAAAGGTTTTGGCCAATTTTCTTCACGGTATACGTAAAATAAAACACAAAGTTAAAAGTATTTAAGGTACCCCTAGAAATTGACACCACAGCCCCTAGGAAAAGGTTAGGGGCAGCGGTGGTAAAATAATGATACTTTTTGTTGCTGAAAATGTTTAGGAAGTTGGAGTTACCAATAATAAATGGAATATGACAACTACTGCCTTGTGAAAAGTGCTTGCCGTGTGAAAAGGCTTTAAATAGGAGAGACTACGATTGGGGGGCTTTCTCCTCGATTAGTTCAGCTACTGAGGGAGCTCCTTCTTTAAGAATTTTACTACCTACTTGATTTGTATTATTTTATATTGTAATACTTTTTATATTTTTATATATTTAGTGAACTTTGTTTAGTTTTAGTTGATAGTAGGTAGTGGAATTTAAAAAAATGAACATGAACATGAAATGAACATGACTACGTACCATCCTCATATTCCACAACTCCTGGATAAAGCTGCTGTGCCATGGCAATGGCTTGGCCAGGAAAATAATCATTGAAGTTCAAACCCTCCCTGATTTCAATGCCAGCCGGTGGATCTTCGCGGTAACCAGTTAGAATTGAGAATACATAATCCTGCAATGATAATAATATCAAATTATAATCTTCGATCTCTTCACAATTTTCAGGTTGATGCGATTGGAAATGAAAAACACGGATAGAAGAACAAATATGCAGTAAATTTCAACAGTTTATAGTTCAAAATAGTTTTCTAACTCTTGGGTGAAGGAGAAAGGGAATCATAGAATGAGATAATATGTACTGGCTGCTGAAAAAACTATCTAAGAGAGAAACGGCTAATTTTGACGATAAATATTTAAAACAAGTTAAGAAGGAAAAAAGGTTTGATTCACAGGACTGAACAAGTAACCCAGGAAGTATTATAAAGACTGTGAATAAAAAGCCGTCATTTTGATCAAAGCTATCATTAACAAAAGACAACTGTAGCAAATATAATTATTATTTAAAATAGGAATTAGTAACAGAAAAGGAATTAAATTTGTAAAGCTGGAAGTTGGAATATTCTAACTTTCTTTATGCAGCTCATCTAAAGTGCAATGTGCATCTTTCTTGGACTTCCTATGAAGGGTTTTAGCTTCTGGATTTGAAGAACAAAAAGACAGACGAAGAATGTGATTCATACCTCACCACCTTTTCTGGCAGACACTATATAGCTAAGATCTGGAGGATAAGCACCTGCAATTCAATAAATTTTTATGGTAAAATCTGAGATGCTAAGAAATAAAAATGTAACTGACAAATGAGTTTAGCTCTTGGCTGCTTTTATCAATCTACTTTATCACTTGCAACAAACATTTATCATTCCTCTCCACCTAAAAAAATATTTACTTAAGTGAAAATGCAGCATTGTTTGGGTAACTTCAATATGAACAATAAATTCTAAGAGGTCACTGATTGGTTAAAATGAAGCTAATCAGGCATGTTCCTTATTTCCTGAAGGCATACTTCCACCCGCATCTGAACACTAAAATTGTTGCACGATTTGCTTTTTGCAATGACGGAAGATTTTATACAGACAGAAAGGGCATGTTATCTGTTTTAACCTCAGTGCCATCAGCTCTTAGAGGCAATAGATCGGCCATAATGAACCCCCTTTTTAGTGGCTAGTTTCCCTTTTTCCTTTCTGGCTGGAGACTTAATAGTTGCCATGCAGTTTTTGCTCTGGTAGACTTTTGAAAAACGCACACAAGAAGGATGCTTAAGTGTTACAAACTCTACATGCTATTCAAAATTTTTGCATCATGAAAGGTCTTGTCACTTCCAGAAACTTCCACCACAATTCAAGGAGAAAAAAATCATTCTCAAAGTATTAATAATAAGGAATTAAATCTAGTTTGCATACCATTGTTTGCAGCCCTTGCAGCCTCTTCATTTGCATATGGATTTGGGAAATAGTCAGAAAGCTAAAAACAAACATACATACACATAAATTTGCCTTGCCTTTTTAGAACTAGTAACTTTTCACAAAATAATATGTTCCATGCTCCAAAAACTATTTTTATTTAAAATTCTCTACCTAATTCCCTTGCCTGTTCCAAACACCCTATGAAAGAAAACTGCTCCCTTGGCTGAAGGCTAGCATCTTCCTTGATAACATTCTAACAACTGATTCTCAAGGAAATCATTAATAGTTCAAAGTGATAATGACAGCATTTTGACAGGAATACTCATGACTTCCACACTCAGCCATCTTCTAACATTAAAACTGTTGCAATACTAAATGTGAATGAGAAATATTAAAAATTTTTTTAAAAAAGAAGGTTAAGTTCAAACAGGTCATTATGCTACACTTTAACATTCCTGTAAGACTTGAACTTTCATCTAATCCTTTTTGGCTAAAATTTCAAACAAGCACCAATTTCTTAAGGTGGAGATGATGAGTACTTGTTCAAAGGGGGGTGCTTATCTAATGATTTTCCTGATAGGGTGGGCAGTTCCTGATAAGGATTTCTTAGGCCATAGGATGTTCCACAAGTCCTGGATTAATATACATTGAAAAACATCTTATAAGAAATGGCATTTTCAGAAGATTTGGAAGACCAAACAATTAATACCCAACTCACCTTTCCTGGTCTTTCATACATGTTCCCTTCATCATCTGGTCCATCAACAACTTGAATCTGCAAAAAAATGTGTGATTACAAAACATCCTCTTTCTTTAAAATAAAAGTGACAGACAGCTGTTTGCAAATCAATTTTTAAAATTTAGCATCACTGATAATATTGCAATCAAAAGTCAGCAAATGTACTACCAATGGAGGATTGCAAAAATGGTGGCAGTAAGGGATTGCTTAAACTGAAAGGCTGTATATGGTTGACAGCTGATCAAAAAGGATTTGGGGGAGCAACCATAACATGGTGGGGCTGCGATGGCCCTCCTGGTGTGGGCAGTCCTCTCTCACTCTTCAGGTCCTCTGCACTTTGTGATGGAGCTGCGATGGCTCCCCTGTGTAACTGGTAAAAGAGAGGGGCAGTGCGGGTGAATGACTTGGCCTTGGGTGTTGGCTTGAAAGCACAACCCAATAGCTCAGCGGTAGAGCACTTGACATACAAAGTCAAAGGTCGTGAGTTCGAGCCTCGCTCGGGTTGGTTATTTTCCCATACTCTCTACTAATAACCATACTAATATACTAAGGCATAGAAACCAATAAACAAAAACATGCAACTCAACTCATTTGGATCATTGGTTTGAATTTTATGGGAAACAGAATGTTTTATCAAGGGAAAAAAATATGGTCAAAAGATGGAAAATTTGAAATTCAGTAGGAAAAAACAAAAGAACTCTACAAAAATGGCAGTATTCTGAGTTCTCAGCCTTGTAAGCATTAGGTTATTGCATTGCCACTTTCTAGTATCCTAAGTAAAATATAAAGATTTGATTCTCTCTGAAATCTGCAATTTTCTACCACTATATGCTGTCCTTTCCTTTAGCACGTGCGATTGCACCCACACACCACTGCACACGCGCAAGTTGAATTGTGCATGCTTTTCATCACATGCGCAAACAGGTGTTTAACATTTCCCATGGTCTCATGATTGTTTATCCTTTCCCTTGTTACTTGATTATCTTGATACTTTTGACCACAATATGATTTTTCCAATTTTCGCAAGTGATGTTTGACTTTTGACTGAATGCTCCTTTCAACTTAGCGTCTTGTTTTTCAGCTAAGTTGCCATTAGCATGTTAAGTGTAATAACTGATTTCTTGTAAAAACATAATTGTTCCCTGAAAGCAAAGAGCTGTTGGAAACAATTTTTATTTTCTCTTGTAACTTTGGAGAGTGACAATAACTTTTGAAAGATGGCTGCTAAGGGCAACAAAATCTGTTATGTATTGATTGAATTGAGTTCTGCTCTTGCATGTATTTGAGTGGATTTTACCTTTCTTGCTCCTTTTACCAATTTTATCAGGTTTGCACTTCAAAGTGCCATTGCACTAAGCAAATTTGTTGACATGTGCAATTTGCCACACACATGTAATTTTGCTCACGAAAAGGACTGTTTATCTGTGATTGGGAACTATACTTTTTAAATTGATTTCCAAAGCTTTGGAAAATATTTGATTGGTATCTGCTGAATTTCAAATGTCTCTACTGTAATACTGATAATATTGAAACTGAGTGAGAATAAATTTAATATAAACAGGCCGTTGTTTTCATGGCAGTAAACAGCACCTGGAAAGTTCCATGTGCATATTTTCTTGTGGATGGACTATGTTGTGACAAAGAGCGAGCAAACGTGATTACTGTTTGTCTCAAAAAGCTTTTCGAAGTTGTTTGTCTCAAAAAGAAACATAAATGGCAAGAAGATTTAATTACTTGAATTGAATGACAATGGAAGTATTTTCTTTCTCTGTTGACATATCTGTGACATAAACCAAAGAGGGAACAAAATATTTCTAGCACAGATTCACTACAACATTAACACAGCAATTTGATTCGAAAGCTTTGGAGTCAAAGTTGTCTCTGGTTGGTTTAAATTGTTTAATTATTGACCAAGCTCAATGGTGTGTGAATTTCACTCCTGTGAAAGTCGAGCACAATAGGCGTGCACAATAGGGGACAGACTGCCTTTAATATAAACAGGCACTTTAAGGATGTCACTTACCTCTTCTGCAAGACCCCTAGCTTCATCTTCAGTATGAGTTACCCCTACCAGATTTCTAAATGCAATATACTGCATGCTATGGCATGCTTGACAAACTTGCTTATAGACTTGATAGCCACGCCGAACACTAAAAACAAAATTTGAATCAAATAAGATAGAAGCAGGATGACAAACAAAATTGGTGGTTGCAAGCATTAAAAGATGACAGGGCCATCGGAGCAAGAAGTGTGGACCTGAGTTACAGAGACTGGGGTGTGAAAAATTTGACAAAAAGACACAAAGAATTCAAAGCATCCAGGAAGTAAAAAACTTAGACTTTTAGACATATTAGTTTTTGTTTGCTGTAGTGATTAACTTCCAAATTTTTAACACTCAGTTTTGAAAATATCAACTTTCATTTTTCTGTTAAATACACATCTTGATTGATAAAAGCAATTTAATTCACTCGATGAATTAACCAGGATAATGCAAAAAATTATTTTCATCATAATCATATTCTAAGAACCTTACGAGAGGCTCATTTTGCTACATGTAGTTCAAGTCCAACTGGAGAGTATTTACAATACGTAAATTTGAAAAGCATTTGCATTATGTAGAAAAATAACTGCTTTTACTAAATTCCAAAATAATTAGGTCATGCTGGGAATGGTGTGCGACCTAACACCCGTGCCTTGGCAAGCACCCTTTATTGCTCAGAAGTGCAGTTTATTGCACGCCTTAAATAATCTGAATACTTTATTCTTAAGTGATAAATATTGCCCAATGTTATTTTTTATCATATTTCAACTATCAACGAACAATGATAATCAAGCAATAGTTTTTTTTATTTCTATTTGACAGAGAATTTGACGAATATTCTAATTTGCTTAAGGTTATGGTAAACGTTTTCTGGATGAAAACATCCATTTTTGGATTCCTTCAGATTCTTGTAGCCGAACTTTCAAGGCACACAATGATACCACGTTTAAAACTAGCAAAGTCTTAAAATGGCAAAAAACCCCTGTAAACAAAGGTTTCAATAATTCTTTCTCAAAGTTTTAGGTTGAGGTCTGAAAATCGCTTGACCTTTTAAGCTGATCATCCTTACTTTACTGCTGTGGTCTTATGTCTCATTTGCAATAACTAGTTAATGGCACATGTAGGGCTGTGTTTATTTAAACAGCCTTATTGACCTTTTATGCTGTAAATGACTTGACCCAGATTACACTGTGGTTTATGAGTGTATCATGCAAAAACACACATGCCAAAAATATTATTTCTACAAATGCACTGCCTTAATGTTCTGCAATGGAAGAAAATTCAGGCAGTGACGTAAGCGACTCAAACTTTTACATTGAATCAGAATCTTCTTATTCAGACAGTGAAGAAATTGATGGTTCAATGGCATAGAATTTTTACTTCATACACAAAATTTTTTATAAGAAAGTGCTTTGTGAGAATCGGTAAAAGGCCAACAACTTTTAGGAACTTCCACATGCAAATGAAAATTACAAAATTTAAGTTTTGATTCTTATGAAATGTGGAAAACAACTGGTGTGCATGATTTTACACTGTGCATGTTGCTATGTACACAAGAAAGTTCCTCTAGGCTGCACATTTTGCTTTGAAGCTCATTCAAAGCAATGTTTCTGATGTTTACTTTATGTGCCTTTTTTTCTAATATGTTTGCAATTACAAAACTCTTCAGAAACTTTTACTAATAGAATGTGGGCAAAAATGTTCCAAAATTAAGAGACTTGGACTTGTGAGGCTTTAGCTATAGCAGTTTTCTTATAAAATAAAAAACGTGAAATTAACAATTTGATTCGTTTTAACATTAGCCAACAGGTTAGTTTTCTTTATGGTATAAACACAGTCAAAATTCTGAAATTTTGAAAACGAGATTGTCAGAAGAAGCAGACGAGAAAGGATTATAAACTGCAGGATAACATATTGATCAACCTATCTTATTGTTAATGTTTTTCTCTGAATATGTTGGATTTGATGTTAATAAAGCTTGTTTAATAAAAATGTATTGATTGGACTAGCCTTGTCTTATCTTCTTCTTATGATAAAGTTATGTTGTCTAGTCTATATACAATAAACTGTAAACTGTAAAAGAAAACAATAAACTTTGTTTACCTGGCATGGTCAAGTGAGTTAAACATTCCATTGTGACTCCAACTAAAAGAAGGTGGGGCAACATCACCACTAGCCTCTACATTTGGTTGTAAAAGCATTCCAGTGCCAAGGCCACCTGCAGCCATGGCACCAACTGCAATCCATGGCTAAAAATCAAATTAATATGATCTGATACAGAACCTTTTTAACTTGCTCACTAGGGGGCAATTTTCTCTTCATCCCTACTGAAATTTCTTTGTTTAGGAAGATAGACTGTTTACGGTTTTCATTAGGAACAAAGGCATAAACCCCCAACTATTACCTTAGTAAAGGTTATCTTAATATTCATTCTCATTAATTTAATATTCATTAGAATAAATTCAAAATATAACCATAAAGAGCAATCATTATCTTCTGTAAATAAAATAAAAACTTCAATCTTCAATAACCAAGTTCTGGAAAATACAAGAGTAAAAGTTACCAGAGATGCATGTCTTGTCTCAGCAGATGATGTGCTAAGTGGTGTCTAAAATTGATAAAGTAGAAAATTGAAACTGTCAATTGCATTTATATTAACTGGACTTTTATTATCTGCATAAGCTAACTGTTCTTGTAGGGAGTTTTCTTGACTTAAAAAATAATGAAAGGATGTCATGTATATACAATGTTTTGTTAGGGTATTACAATATGATTTAGGGAATACAATATGAACATAACATCACAAGCTATATACAGGCCTCTCTGGGAAAAAACAACACATGCTACAAAAAGCACTTGCAAGTTTGGTTGCGTAGGTTATTTGGCCCTTGCAGAACTGTTGTTTTTTTTATATTTGAGTATTAACAAAGGCAAAAATACATTACCTTGCCAATTCTTTAAATACTATTCACCTGAAGAAGGTATTTTTTTGTGTATTACTACCTTTAAATTTTGTATTACTACTTCTTAAAATGAGACAAAAGAGGAACATAACTTTTCTTTGGAATATAGCAAAGTTTTGTTAGATTCTGCCGGTCACATATAAGAATGCCTAGTTTATAGGTCTTGCCTTTAAAATAAATTGTTTCCTATTTGACTGACAGCATGGTGTAATGTTTCTCACTTTAATTATTTGTAGCATTTATCATGCTTTATGTTATTCCTTTGGTGTGAACACATTCCCTATCCATTGCAAGTTTTAGCAGCTAATAAAATAGTTTGTTAACATGTGATAAACACATGGACATGTAAGTCCTTTTTTTCTTTATTTACATTGGGAAGCTTAACTGTGCAGATTAAATGAGAACAATAGTTTGAAAGACTGCGTGGGCAGAAAAAAGCCCTGGCAAATTTTTGTGTGGGATTTGTACAGGTGCGGTTCATAGCCTGTGTCTCCGGGAGAGGCCTGATTCTTACCCCTGCGAAAAAACCATTGCTCAACCATGGCTGACAATGGTGACACCATGGTTACACCATGGTTTTCAACCATTTCCCACCATGGTTGAGCAACGAAATGACCATGGTTAACCATGGTAGAACCACGAATTTCCAATGGGACCCATTGCTCAACCATTGCTGAACCATGTCTAAAATTTCAAAATTTTTACTTTTTCATAAATTTGCTTGAGCAATATTGAAAGCTGAAATGTTCAGGATTATTTTAAACAATTTTGAAATTTTCAGTTCTTTTTATGATTTCAGTTTAAACCATGGTCAGACCATAGCCAATACATGGTTACCTGTTCATGGTTGAACCATGGCTTAACCATGCTCAACAAATGTGTTTCAACCATGTTTTTCCATGGTTGGACCATGTCATCTAATCATTTTACCAATTTAGGTCAAATCAGGGTTCAACCATATAAACATTTGAATTTTTGAAAATACAAATTTGAATTTTTACAGGAATTGCATAATGCTTGTAAACTTGGTTTGAAACATGGTTGAAACATGGTTCAAACATGTCACTTGACCATGATCGAACCATGATTCAACCATGTTTCTTGGCCATGATCAAACCATGATTCAACCATGTCTCTTGACCATGATCAAACCATGGTTCAAACATATCAACCAACCATGATCAAGCCATGGTTCACTTTTGCTTTTTTTCTTCTTTAAGATTCCTCTTGCTTCTGCACTTCATGAACTCCTGCTGTAAGCACTCTCAAAGAGAATCTCTCTTTGAGCTCATCAAGGTTCTGACATAGTAAATTTTAATGCAAAGCTTTGTTTTTCACAAGAAAGCTCACTTTGCTTGATATCATATTTTTATTTGTTGCTGATTAGAGCACTTCAAGGTTCCTGATCAATTTTTAAAAAAGGCATCTTATCTAGGATGAAATGTGTGCGTAAAGTTTGGCAAAGTTCAGGCTTAACATGCAGTTCTTTAACTTGTTTTCATGAGACTGTATGCAAAACCAGAGACAATTTTAGTCTGGGAGATGCATTTCTAGCCATCCTAGAAGGCTTAATTTCAAAAAATTTCTTTCGCGTCTGACCCAACCATGGCAGGTCCTACTATGTCACTGAACTTGATTCTTAACCCCCAGGCTCAGTTTTGTGGCCCCATCTCTGAAACTGCGAAGCACAATGCACCAGTCGCATTAACAGAGTGTAATAATGCCAAAATGTATTCAGTAGATAAACACTTGCAGACTCCCAAAAAAATTTCCTGAAGCCAGGCCTGCTTCCAGGGCATCATAATCGTGCATTGAAGTGCATAAAGCTCGCAAGTCACTTCCGGGTACAATCTTTCATATTGTTTCTGCTTGTGTTCTAATTTTTACAGAGAATTGAAGTATGAACTTGTAAGGGGTTTCACAACAATAATCGTTCCAGGTGAAACTTTACCCCTTTAGCTATCAATCACGGTCAAATTCCTAATGAAAGTTTTCTAATGTCATAATAAAATCAATGTCGTGACCAAAAACATTATGAAAATTTTCAAGTAGACTAAAATTTTTGCTCTTAATGCGAATCTGGAATAAAAGATTTTGTACAAAAACATTTAAAGAATTTTATCAAAAAAAGTTTAAGTTAAATTGGTGTATACCCTGATAGTAGAAGGGGCGTGGTCGTTAAAAATTTAGAAAGACAACGCCCATAAAGTCCAATTTTCTAAATTTTCTAAATTTTCAAAATTCTTTAAATAAACTTTGGTGCGAGTGGAGTTTAAACTGAAGCTGTTCGTTGCGAAAAGTCTGGTTTATCCGTACTCGTAATGAACGGGAAGTCTTTCCTTATCAAAAGTTGTACGGCACCGTGTAAACGCGATCTATCCGTATATATCTTTTTATCGGGATCAAACGTTATCCATCATCAAATTGCTCCACAAAAACGTTCTTATTTCGAAATCTTGCATCACTCGCAACAATACTTTCGGTCAGAAAAAGGGTCCCAAGTCCTCTAGATCTGTCTGGGCCTAACATTAAATACGCTATGTTACCTAGCAGTTCTTTACGATGAAGCTTTCAACATAATCAACAAACTTCCCAACTGCACAAACCTTTTAAAAAATTATCTTGTTTTTGCTGTGTACATGAATCGCAAAGGTGAACGCACTGATAGATGATCGAACTGCAATCCAAACGGCCATCTTGTGTTTGAAAAAGCGCGCTCAAAAATGGCAGTTGCTTGTTGGTTGAGCCATGGTTTAGCGATGGTCAAACCATGATTGCATGCATAAGAAAATTTAAATCCAAAGGAAATAAATGTTTTCTTATTTGAAAGCAAGGAAATAAAAGCTAATCTTGGAATACCCAACTTAACAGGCACCGCATAGCAGGGGGGGGGCAGGGGGGCTGCTAAAAATGTCAAATATTAAGTAATAAACTACCAGGAAAGCCTCTTTTTAAAAGGTTTTAGCCCCCACTTCTCTAAAACCCTCACTGTCTCAAAGCTCCCTGGTGCCTGTTTAATAATGAAACATATAACTATGCAAAAAATTACTTATAGGCAAAAATTTCTTAGTAGGAAAGGAAGAAAATACCAGGATTTTAAACAGTGGAGACTTCTTGTAGGGACATAGGGGGTGGAGCCCATCTTTATTGTTAGAAATTTTCTTCACTTTGAAGGGGGCAGGGGGCTTGATCTTGCTTTTGAATTTATTTTAAAAATTCTTTGCCATTTTAAGAAATTTCAATTAATAAATTGACCATGGTTCAGCAATGGGTCAGCAATGGTCAGGCCAAATTTTCATAAAACATCTCAAATTCAAAGAAAATAATTTTTCTATGGCTTAAAAACAAGGAAATATGTCCACAAAACAAATATAGTAGAAATCAAACTATTTAATTTAAAAATTCTTTGCCATTTTAAAAAATGTCAATTAATAAATGGACCATGGTTCAGCAATGGGTCAGCAATGGTCAGACCAAATTTTCATAAAACATCTCAAATTCAAAGAAAATAATTTTTCTATGGCTTAAAAATAAGGAAATGTGTCCACGAAACAAAACTAGTGAATATCAAGCTGTTTAATTTAAAAGTTCTTTGCCATTTTATGAATATCAGTTGATAAATGGACCATGGTTTAGCAATGGTTAGACCATGTTTATGTAAAACTCTTGCCATTCAGAATAAATGAAGGAAATTAATAGTGAGACAAGGAAAATATAATCTTTCAATTTGAAGGTATCAGAAACCAAGCACATAAACCCCCCCTATTGACTGAGTTGTGTCTTGAGACATGGACCATGGTCTTGACATGGTCAGACATGGTTACATGGAAAATGATAAAAAATACAGAAAACTGTTACTTCTTCTTATATTTCTATTGAGGATAACTTTTTAGACAGTTGAGGATTCATATTTTCCAAGAACCAACAAATTAAAATCATTGCAGGCAAAATCTTCTTTCATTGCTCAACCATGGTCACTAACCATGGTCAGCACTTGTCAGGATCACGGCTCAACCATGGTATGACCATTGCAAACTATGGTTGGGCCATGAACCATGGTTGGGTTTTCGCAGGGGTATATACAGGGTTCTCCTTTCCTTCGCTCTATCACCCATTTCATGGGCAAAAACACTTAATGGGACTGTTAGCTTATAATAGAAAAAGTCTCTTCAAACTTCTATGATGCTACCCAAATTGTCTTTAAAGAAAAAATATACACATGTTGATATTCATATAAACATAATTCTTATCTATAAAACAGTTTAACCAGAAATATATTTCAGCCTATAAGATACATAAGCAAGTATATATGTATAAGCCCACAAGGAGTCCTAATTTGGTGCAGGTTGATTATGAAGGTGAATTAGCCTAAGACTTCAAGGGTATCTTAAAAATTCAAGGGTATCTTACCCTTGCTTCCAAGGACACATTCTTATGATTGAAACAGAACTGCACTTGATGTTTGGATGGCTCAAATTAATTGATTGTGAATAGAGATGATTAGAATAGAAATTTACAAAGTAATGCTTCCACTAAATTTGTCACAATTAGTATTGTGTGTTGTGAAACTGAATGTGAAACAGCTGAGGCATGGTTATGCATGTCAGTTTTGAGAAAGTGGTGATAATCCAAAGGTTTGTGACATTCTAGTTGCATTTTCCATGGGAACTTCCCTTACATGAAGGTTTGTTTCTTGTATCTATTTTTGTATCCTTCCAAACGGACGACATACTGACGAAGAAGCCTTGGAAAAGTTATGCAACAAACCAACTTGGGCACTAGCTAAGGGGATGTTTTCTTGAATTCACTTAAAGGGGGAAAGTTTGAAGTTGGTCATTGCCTTAAACAGATGAGCCGGTTACTTCAATAGGATGCCGCAACGTGCTCACTCAAGTCTACTTAGGCCTATGTCCAAGAAGTTGTTCTTAGGCCTAATTTGGACTTCATTTCATAGAAAAAGATTGGCACCTGTATCAGTAACAGCATCAAAGTCAGAAGAAATGAGCGCAGAAAATTTTTTTTATTTCCATACCTTGCATAAGCTGCGACATGTTCTCAAGAACTGTGCCTGCCTGCCTCTAAAGGCGAACATTTTAAAGATTTGTCGGCCTTTACAACTAAGTTATCGTGCGAAAGGGTGAACCAGTCCGTCCATGGAACAAGAGGACTGGGTCTGAATTTGAAAAATCTACGTAATTTTTTATACTGGTCTTGGAATTGCTTGTAGATATTACAATAATCAAATTAATTTCAACGCTTATATTAATTATAGAGTGGGGTAACATAATAAAATATTAACATGCATATGTGCCAACCATATAGCTGAGTTTTTCTACCATCAATGATTCTAAACATAGAGAAAATGCTGACGAAAATATCCATACATAAAATGGGTATTAAATGGCTTTGTCACTATCCACAATATTTGGATTTGCAAAAATTATGGTTGTTATAAATGAGCTGGTTATAAAATTTTGATTGCCCGCTAAGTTTCAATACCGACTTATCCTTCTTTGGTTTTTTGAGTACTTCTTAGGGAACAGGTCTTTTGTTTATCTATTATAATCTTTGCTGCTCCGCACTCTTGTGGCCCACCTTGTAACAGACAAACTTTTCAACCTTTGCGTTTTTGTGTTGGTGTTTTCATTTTTCTAATAATTTCTAATATAAATTAACATAACGAGAGTGGTCAGAGTGGTCATCAATTATCAATTACAACAGTTAGAGGATGCTGTGTACGATGCTCAATGCTCGTTGCTCGTCAAATAATTCTGTGTATTGAAATATTCAAAACAGTAAAACATTTGAACCCACCTTTTATGCAGAGTATTTTTAAATTACGTTCGTCAAATTATTCATTAAGAAATCTGAATAACTTAGCCCCTGTCAGGCCTAATCAAACAACATTTCGATTCAAAAGTCTTATGTCAATCGGGCCACAGATTTGGAATGGCCTACCCAACGAGTTGAAATCCGCAGAAAATTTGAAGAGTTTTAAGAATCTAATAAAACGATGGGACGGAACCGAATTGCAAATGCAGTGCCTGTCAGTTTCTGCCAGAAAAATGCAATGTAATCTTTAATTTTGCATCCATAATTCCTTTTTATGTACTAACTCTAACTGGTAGCTATATTCGATTTTGATTAGTTAACATTGTATATTTATGAATATATTGTTAGCTATTGTTTCTCATATCGAATTAAAATAAATTTACAACAACAACAGCTATAATTCTTCTCTGACTTTCTCTTTTGGTTATCGTATTCGTCGAAAATAAATTCACCGAAAAAGCTTCTTTTCCATAAAAAGGACACTTAACCGTGAACAAAGGGAACTTTTTCTAAAACAGGTGGTACTTTTCTGTTCAAGGAACACATTTGGAACTTTTGAAGAAACAAAGGAGGGCCTCCTACCTGATTGTACTACTTCATATCCCGTTTTTTCATTGTCCCTTTAAAGGTTTTAAAAGCTTAGTAATATTAACTGATTGGATTTCAGAAATGGCTTTCCGGGAAATCAAAGTGAATTTAATCTATGATAGCGTGAAAAATTATCAATTGTTTCCTGATTTATGATAATTGCTTAATTGTGACTTCGCAAAATATGTTTTTAGAATTTCGAGGTCTGGAATACCAAGAAATACCTTCACATTTAAAAAATCTGCTAAATATGTCCATAACTGGGTGAGATACAACAAATGAAAGATCAATTGGCTGTTATTTGGCTGGATTCATATAGTTGTGAACTGAAGCTTAATTACAGTGATTTGATGGGGGGAAAGCCCATGCTTAGCTTATATGGCCATATCCCAGGTAGCCAGATCTTGACTAAGAAGATCATTCAAGGTTGAGTCAACATAAGGTCCCTAGTACACAGATGACGGTCCTACTTATTAATTTTTTTACAGTTATATTACATAAGGTCCATATAAAACGGTAGGAAAAAGGAAGAAGATAGGAAAACACTAGAATGCCCCTTTTCTGCTTAAACTTCCCGATTGCGAAAAAAGGAAAATTTTTTAACTTCTCTATTACCAATTCGAATGCCAGGAAGCTCTGCAGTTTCTCTGCGCTGTAAGTCTTTTTAATTGCATTCGATGAGTAACAAGCACAATGAAGCTCTCAAGTGATGACGTCAAAAGAATCTATTTTGAAAAATTATGTATTTTAAAGAATTTGTATCACGTGTCCTGAAAGAACATCACGAAAAACACTTAACTGTGCAAAATCAGCGATATCTATTCCGGGCTACCTGGGATATGGCCATATAAGCTAAGCATGGGCTTTCCCCCCATCAAATCACTGTAATTAAGCTTCAGTTTACAACTATATGAATCCAGCCAAATAACAGCCAATTGATCTTTCATTTGTTGTATCTCACCCAGTTATGGACATATTTAGCAGATTTTTTAAATGTGAAGGTATTTCTTGGTATTCCAGACGTCGAAATTCTAAAAACATATTTTTCGAAGTCACAATTAAGCACTTATCATAAATCTGGTATCATAATCCAACTTATCTCAGTGTTACTTGTCTTTCAAGGGCATTTAAGTCAACCCCACACGTCACGTCATAATGAACAAATAAACAAAGAGTTGCCTTACAATGGCATGCATCCCACCAACACAAATCTGAGGTTGTTATAACGTTTAAATGGTTCTTCCTTTACTATTTTATATTGTGTTTATGTTATCTTTACGGTAAAAAACTATTCGATAAGTAGCCATGTAAATTGGGCGTCTCTCTAGTACAAACGGTATTTGATGTTTAATCGATAAGAAATGCTTAGTTTTTTGGAATTTTTTTCAGCATTAACAAAACCAGAAAGCATGGCTTGATATTAGTACCTATTCTGCATCTAGATTTAAAGATATCAAATCACACTTTGTGTAGCAGAACATCTAGAAAGGTACAGAATTAAAGTGCAAATAATCTTACTTGGACGCGAGCTTTTATTCTCTCTAACCTAGGTTGGTAAATTTCCTCCCGTTCTCAAAAAAAACCGCTAAAGACTTTTCCTTAATTGGTTTATATTTAAAGATGGGTCCTGAAGAAAAGCAGAGAATCAAGGTTGAATGATCCACGGTGATAGCAAAGTCAACTCTGGCAATATGTATATATGTACAATACATAACAGGCGAGAAAGAAAAAGGCATACAAAAATTCACAATTTTATGTCTTTTTCACATTCTTATATGCCGTCCGCCTTCATATCCTAAAAAAGGTCCCCTTTGAGCCGCGAGATACCCTGTGTGACGTCATTGAGGCAGCCTGATAATCTAGCGACCATATCTGCCACAAACCCACTTCACTTGCCTTGATACATGCCCGGTTTAGAATCGGTCCACTAGCGATAGCAGTCTTCTCTTCTCGAGTTCTGCGCTCTCATTCGTATCGGAATCCCCAACATGGCTGGCATATTCTACAAACGGACAACGTAGGCTAATCAAGCAATTCTACCAAGCAAAATGATTCTTACAAAAATAAACAAAAAAGTAACTTCCTCAAGCCATTTGCTTATGCAAATTAAGTCTTCTTGGCTCTTATAAATCCATAAATGATGGCAAAGATTATTGAGTTGAAACCATTCACATGACCAGAAATTTATTGAAAAGACTGGAGTGCTAAAGAGTAAAATGAATGTAAGTATACAGTAGTGGACTGATTTGAGAAATGAATACTGGCGACAGCGCTGTAAACAGCATAATCATGAAGATTTGAACCACTTTGGTGGAGTCATAAAGCAACGAACATAGTAATAAACCAACTAGCATCATTTTTGGAATGGAATTTGAGTCAATTGTGAATGACAACAAGTTTTCTTTTGTAGTTATGTAGTTATGTATTGTAAACTTTTACGAGCATAAAAAACCAATCAAATAAAACTAAAAAAATTGCAACACTCTGAATGATTCAGAAATGATGACAAAAATATCTGAAAGTCGAAGGAAATGGCTATCATTGTTAGGAAGCAAACCATCAGTGTTATCAAACTAAAACTAAACAATCTAAACGAATAATATCCAAAATATTGCCTTTAACTTATTATCACTCTAAAGGCTATGTCTAGAGATAATATATTTTATATGCTATTCTCCAGAATTTAGATAGTTGATAATATTAGTCAATGATTGCTAATAATATCAGTATTTTTAAATGATTGGACTCTAGATTCCGAATCTAAGAGGGTAACATTTCACGAAAAAACTAAAAAATTTGCTCCAAAAATTTCTTGATTTGCTTGTTTTTTGTTTTGATATCATACTTCAGGTTTTAAAAAATTGCGAGGGTAGGATGGGCTAGAAGGGGTTGTGTAGCGTATTCTATCATGTTTAGATCAATTGTAACAATTTAATTTATTCTATTTTATGTTAGTTTTTCTTTTAGTTTAGATGCATGGCCCCTTGTAAACCAGCATTGCTGAATGGGCCACTATGCTTAAACAATTTAAAATTAAATGAAATGAATGAAATGTAATTGAATTTAATACAAAAATTGAATTTTGCAGGGGCTTGGTAGCTTTCTAACTTAATCTTTCCAAATATTCCCATAAAATATCGGGCCATTTCAACCCTCTGCCTGCCGGTCAAGACGCAAATGATTTTTTCTCTTAGAGCATAGGCAACCTACCACGCATGATTTCCTTAACATCCTTTGGCGATCCTCCATGCTGCGTCAGTACCTGCATAACTCTGCTTTTGATCTGCAGCAAAAAATAAGATAATGAGAACACAGTTATTTCACTCCGTAATAAAGTCTCTTTGAGCAAACCGAAGAAGCTTCCACTTAGAACTTAAAGATCACATGCTGGCTGCCGGATGGCTGGGACCTTCAAATAAAATGTAAGGAACTTAATGAAAAGCCAAGTTTCAACCAGAACAACAGCGGGTATTTCTACTGACTCGACATGCATCTTACAATTTGACAGTATTGCAGATAACTTGAAAATATTTCATCGTAAAGATGCAGGTCGTATTATATTGCTGAATAATAGAACATTTTGATGTGATTTAAGTACAGTTACATGTGAGAATATGATATTCTAATATCAGAACAGAGAAACAAAAATATGATAATAATGATATGTCAAAACAGATGATATAATATAACACAATATAATTTAACATAATATAACACAATATAATATAATATAATATAATATAATATAATATAATATAATATAATATATATAATATAATATAATATATATATAATATAATATAATATATATATATAATATAATATAATATAATATAATATAATATAATATAATATAATATAATATAATATAATATCATATAATATCATATAATATCATATCATATAATATCATATAATATCATATCATATCATATCATATCATATCATATCATATCATATCATATCATATCATATCATATATGATATATGATATGATAGAATATAATAATATACACTGAATTAACGAACTGAATCAAGGAATCGTTGGTAATACATACAGAGGAAACACCTGAGCAACAGGCCTCCATGATGACGCAAACAGTCAACTGGAGTGTGAAAAGACCAGCGTCCAGTCTTCGTAAATAAAAAGAGTCCTCCAAACTTTCATCAATGACATCTCCTTTCTCCTCTAGCTCCTGAGGAATAATTTAAGATTTTGTATTGAAAATGGTGAGCTGTATAATGGATTAAATAAAATTTCGACGTTTCGAGCATAACTCTTCATCAGGTGAAAAGAATAGGAGGAATAACGGTTAAAAATAGAATAGATAAAAGAGCAGAATCGAAAGAATAACTGTGTATGGAACATATTAGGAATTAGAAATACGACGAAAAGACGAGGTGGAAATATGTGACGTCGAAAGCATACTTCTTTCAAATTTACTAAGTCGTTATCTAAAAGTAGCAAATTTTGGTCGTTAGTTATCGACGTGCAACACACTCAACTACATTGTTTATCAGTTTAAAGTTAATTAAGTCAATGACCAGTTGTATTCATGGGTAGCTCAAGCATGTAGGGACTAAGTATTTTAGGTATTCAGACATTCAGTGCAGTTATAAGATGGATGACATTAACAAATATTGAATAAGACCAATGTTAGACATTGATTAGTTTCAAAAGAATAGGTATGTTCAGAGCATCATGCAAATGATCTCTATGCTCTTCAAATTAACAGCAACACAGATTAACAATCAAAAGGAAACAACATTGGTGTCTGGCGTCATAGCACCCATTTTGATAAAAAAACACCCTTTGCGTAAAAACTGCTAGTTATGTTTCTGTCTACACAAGTCGGGACCTTTTGCTTTGATAAAGACGGGTTCCAAAAGACCTACACCAAGGATAGTCTTGCTTGCCAATGAATATAACCTGTCGTCACTAAACGTTGGTGAATATTCGTCAATGCAAACCACTGCCTAATCTATGGGAACCTTGATGTGTTATGTCTTGATCAAGAAGAAAAAATACAGTAATCAAAAGCTAAGGGAAATTGACATTCGCCTTGGTTTTCGATCTGCGAATCCTTGAAAGTAGCTTACTGCCTTAGTTCATTAAGCCAAATAAACTGATAAAACGCCGTTAATGAACATACAATACCAGTGGCGTCACCAGCTCGAAAAAACTTGGGTGGAGAAAAACAAATTTTCTCGGCCACGCCCTTTAGACTCTTGGAATATCCTTTTAAAGTATTTTTTACCCATTTTCAAACTTTTGGGCAAGCAACTTTCTCAACCAGTATTTTTCGTAACGGTGGCTTTTTGCCAGTGCAAAATCGAAATCAATCTGATCAGCCCAATTCTCCCTCCTCCCAAGGTTTTTAAACGGATTTCGAGAAATTATAAAACCGACTTCTTGGAAAACTGGGGTGGACTTGTCCACCCCAGTCCACCCTGTGGCGACGCCACTGTACAATACAATACCAAACAGTATACATAATAGAAAACAAAAAATGCAAAAACGGTATAAACAAGCTCACATCTTTCTCCTTCTCTATTTTCATATCTGCATCTTGGACTTTAGATCGGTAATTGAAATACAGTTCCATAAGTCTGTCAACCTTTAAAATGAAAATAAGAAGCTTGAAAGCAAGCGAGCAGTTGCAAAACTCTTTCAATGATTATCTAGAACATATGATATATTGAATTTGCTTACCGTAAAAGCTCTATTAAACCCTTTTCTCTATTAAGCCCTCCTCTCTATTAAGCTCCCTTACCAAGCTAAAATTTAAAATAAGCCCCCTCTCTATTAAGCTCCACTTTCTAATAAGCCTCCCTCTCTAATGAGTCCCCCTCTATTTTAAGCCACCCCTCTAGCACTGAGAAAATAAATAAGCCCCCTCCAGGGTTTAATAGATCTTTTACGGAAATTCAAAAGATATTTAAAAGAACAAATATGGAGGTAATTGCTAAAGCATTTAAAAAGCTTTAGAAGAAAGCAGTAGAATGATAAATAAACAGCAGAAAATAGGTTGAAAATAAACTGAACTTGTAATAGTGAAAATAAAATTCCATGAAATATTTTCACACCAATAGATTGTTTTTTCGATATCAAAGCAAAATTGCAATGGAATGTTGATGGAAATGTAATTAAAAGAAACTTTCGTTCTGCCGGGCTCACAATTGAAAAATTTTTAATGAAAGGTGATTACTTTTCATTTTTGTGTACGAAGAATTGAGTACACTGTGTAGTGGGTCGAGGGGAACGCATACATATACCTATACATATATAGACGCTTTCCCGTAACATTTTTGCTATGCAAGGCATGCTCGTTTCCCTGTGATTTACTTGAGTCAAATTGCTTATGAAAAGTGCGACCTAGATGAAATTCTGGAATAGCTGCACCAGAAACTTCAAGAAACTATAGATAAGTGTGACCAACCTTGATGTGATCGTTTTCGACAAACTTTTGAACAAGTCTGGATCGACTAGAGCCAACGGAATGTCTGAACAGAGAAGCTATGATTGAGCTTGTGTGTTCTAAAATTAATAATAAAACTGACATCAATAATCATACGAAAGATAGTTAATACAGCTTGGATTCCAAGAGCTTAGATTTTCAGGAAATTGACAGATAATTTGTTGAGCTCCTGGCCAAAATCAAGTGGTTTGGTTTCCATTGCTTAGTGATGAAACTCTAAATCTAAAATCTCCCTTAGAAATTAACCCAAATATCAGAAAACAACTCAGCCTTCCTCCGGATGAAATTTCGCCCTATTTGCCATCGTCATAATTCCCTTTTAAATCAAAGTTTCATATAAATGAAATTCGAGTAAAATCATCTATGGTTTTGTCTTAACGCTTTCTCAGGAAAAAGAAATGTTCAAGAAAAACGGGAAATACCTCTAACTTGCAAGAAAATTGGCCTTCCTCAAAGCTATTACATTGTTTCATAACATTCCTCCGGCTCACAGCCGTGGAGCCATTATGTTTTCTGGACTCTGAATGAGACTACCGTGATCAAGTCTCAAAAGAATTTGGCCTAACTTAATAGGATATTTCAATGTTAATAGGTTGATTCCATGAAATAGCCCTGGCTGAATTTCATATGCGAAAAATAAACAAATTATCCTGTATAATAAACAAGATAGCTTGAAAGCAATGAAAGTTACTGCAATCTTTTAGAGTTGGTAAATAAAGAAGGATAACCACAATGTACAGAAAAAGGCAAAAACGACAGTATAAACAAACTACTACACTCTTTAACCTTAAATTGTTTTTCATGTTTGACTTTAGGGCCTATTCATATACCATGCTCTAACAGGCATATTCTGTAATTTTCAAGCTCGTGATCAACAAAAAGTGATGCCAGGCATTTTGCCTATCTTTTGTAAAGTTTTTTATCAAAAATTGATATCATTATATTTCCTTGTATCCTAGCTAAAAACATCATTGCTTAGATCAAAACATCTAAGATTAGAGCGATAGACAAATGCTTTATTGTCCAATGATAAAATATTCCAACCTTAGAACTCATCTAGATGTCCCTGAAGGACAACTTACCTTCCGCAACATCTGGTCCATTGCCAATCTTCTTGTTCTTTTTCGGCGGCTATGGTTATAGATAAGTAGAGGAAATCAAATTCAGCACACCACTTTGATTAGAATTCTGAATGCAACGCAAATCGGTCGGTTTTATGCTGATTTGACATTAACGGTTATCCTATGCAAATAGAAATCAATTAAATATTCTTCAGTTAATCTACGATTATGAGGTTTTCGTCCGGTCCTTGCCTTGGTTTATCTGCCCACGTGACATCAGCAGGATTGGCAAACATCCCATCCTTAATGTTTGAATGTCATGCAGGCGAAACATCTGCTCAATTCTGCTTCTTTTCTGCTGGAGCAAAAATCATACACCTCAAAAAAAGGTTATGATTTAAGCCCGGTTCAAACTATACCGGATTTGCGGTGTCAAATCATTCCGTTTTAAATGTGGAATGGACAGGGATCCCTGTCCAGCGAAGCTATCCCACATTGCTTGAATTTTTGCAAATGGATCGTTTAAACAACTGTGGCAGCCAATAGTTACGATTTTATCTTAAAATAAACTTTTTAAAAAGCTTAAAAAATCTCTAATGTTTATCGGATGAAATCATCAATTAGTGGTGTCTTAAAAGTGCTTCACTTCTTATCGCTGTAGAGCAGGGGTCGGCAACCCGCGGCCCGCAAGGTACTTTTGTGTGGCCCGGAAGGCTCCTGTTAAATCAGTTGTTAATGCGGATCCTAGTTTCTTCTCTAGATCAGCATTCCTTGCACATTGACATTACTCCAAGGCCAATGTGAACGTGAAATTTTTTAATGTCACGGTCCAGCGTATGCTTCGTCTCTTGAATACTCAGCTTGGTCAAGGGAACTTAGCTCACTTTCCAACTTTGCAGGAACAGCAGCCTGTCGATGTGTCTATGTATGCATCATTCTTTGGTGACCTTCCCATGAAGTTTAATGACCGATTTCAAGATATGCAGTGTCAACGCAAAATGTTCCAGCTTTTTGCTTCGCCATTTTAAGTCAAAGTTGAATCTGCCTCCGAAAATCTTCAAATGGAGTTGATCGAGCTGCATGCAGGGTACCAGTGAATTGAGACTGAAATACAGGGAAACTAATATCATCCAGTTTTATCAAGAGTATCTCAAGGATGATGGTTCTTATCCAGGTCTGGTGCAGCATGCCAAGAAGATGTGTTGCATGTTTGAAAGTACTAATCTTTGCGAAAGTCTCTTCTCAAAGATGAAGTATGCAAAGAGTCGACTGTAATCTCGAATGACTAACAGCACCTTGCGGCTGTCAACATAAACAATTCTGCCAAATATTGAGAAGTTTGCCAAGAACGTGCAGCACCAAGTTGCGCATTAGCTTCTTGTAACATAACATACTGAACAGCGAACATGTACTTTACATCTATCTTTGTATTTACGAACTGCTTCCACGTTACAGTACATTTACCGATAAATACAATTTTATTTATTAGATTAGTAGTTAGTTAAAATTCGTATATATCAAAATTGTGCTGTATTTTGAGTTGCGGCCCTCGTATGCATTTCTAGAGTCAAATTTGGCCCCCTTGTTTACAAAGGTTGCCCCCTGCTGTAGAGCGACACGATAACAGGGTTCTAGAACACCGATCTGTGGACAGCTAAACAAAGTATGCTTACCCAATGTTAACGTCACAAACACGGTACTATCTCTTGTGAAATAAAATGGCAAAAATCTAAATCAACCCCTTCCTCAACAAAGCAACGCTGTTGATGCAATTTTTGAAAGATGTTGATATCAGACCTTAGTTTCAAAACAACATTGCTTTTGGAGAGAAGGGCATTGCAATTAATGTCGTTTTAGTGAGATATAAAAAGTTTATTAAAAAAACATTGAAAAAGTTCGTCAATGGACACTGGTCTCAATATATTTTGTGAAGGAGGACTGTAGATGAAAAACAAGCATAGCTTGAGTAATTTTCTACAAAACAAACTGAAAGGCCGTTTTAACTTATTTAACTTATATAACCAATCAAAATCTAAATGTTTCGTAGAACACTACATACCTTCATAAACAACGGAAATATACTTCGTAAGCCCAAAATTTCAATGAACTTATTGCAATTGTCTCCTCCGTCAGGGCCAGTCATTGCGAAGTCAAGCACTTTAAGGGAACTGCATCGACTCATTTTCTTCTCCCTGGAAAGAGGTTACATAAGCAGTAAAGCAACTGTGCTGTGCAGCTGTTGTGATGAGACGCAAACGAAATAGTTCTCTTTGAATGAAGGTGGTCCTGTTTTATTCTTTACCAGAGCAGGACAAGTGTTACATTAACAGTGGGGCAAAGAAGGCACTCAATGTGCAAGGGGTACCCGGTGAAATAGTGCTTTGAAAAATTCAAGCAAAATATTTACCAATATCTTGACTGCACACTTGGTTTTTATAGCCTGATTTATGTTTCCGAAATGGTTAGAGTTCTCAAAATTGCTTCAGTGGCCAAGCTCGATCAAAATATTGCAAAATTTTCTCATGTACATGGTTTACGAAATTTTTGGCATGTACATTGCTATCTGGTTCCTAATCATAATCTGTGCAAATTGGTCCTCAAAAGTCTCAATGTGCTCTTACATGTACACCTAAATTCAGTTCTTTCGTGCTTTGGGACAACTGTGAGGTACAGTCACGGTCTGAAAATGATTAAATTGAGAAGCCTACATCTCTTTTGACATATCATGCGGTTGGGCGACGGCACTCTAGGCAGGTAAGCCCTAGCGAAAACTAGTGGTGAAAGGTACAAGAGAAGAAAAGAAGGGGAAGTGGAAGAAGGTCTCCTCATGGCGCAGAGCGGAACGATGAATTTGATTTTGATGATGATGATGATGATGATGATGATGATGATGATGATGATGATGATGTACTCAGGGACAGAGCACAGACGTGATGACGTCACAAGAATCACTCTTTTGAATTTTTAAATTTTGATCTCAGATCATGAAAGAGCATCATCGCTAAATATGCAAAATCAGTTAAAGGGATTACGAATTAGCTGAGTTATGGCCACTTGAACACAGGCTCTTTGCCCATCAAACCTCTGTAATTTGGTTTTGGTTCATATTTTTTTGAACCCAGGCAAGAATAACAGTAATCCGTTAGCAACCTTGGAATTTTTCATTGGCCATATCATAGCCCAATTTTGAGCATATCTAACTTATTTTGCGTATGGAGAAGTATTTTTATGCTGTTCTTTCAGATTATGTGCTCAGATTTAAGAAAACCTTTGATGACGTCATACTACTTTGCAACTTCCACCTAATGAAACTCTCAATCTTTTAACAGCCAAAGAATATAACTTTCACTTACATACAGATAATATTTTTAGAAAAGTACAAAAGAATTTCATAGCCATGATTCCAAAGAAGAGTACGCGCTTTTTTTAAACATAGTACTAAAAGTTCCTCAACAGTTCCTTAATTTAACTGCACAATTAGTACCATAAAAATTGAAAAATGCAGTGTTCTTCGCCAGTGGCGAAATGCTATCGAAATAACAAGAGGGGCCCTTGCATAAAATGTCACGAAAAACAATAGCAAAAAGTGAAAGTTGCCAAATTCCGGCATTAACAAAGTGGTTCAGCCACCTGAGCCCCCTAGCACTACACTCCTGGTACTAAAGGCTCTTCAATTTTTTCCATCTTCTACGTGTAGGTTCCTTATAAAGTGTGTAGTTCAAAAATTTTCAAGGCACAGTCAGAGAAACAGAGCAAATATATTTGCTAGTATGGAAGGGGGGTTATCTTCTGGGGAGCTTACTTTCATGTGTTATGGTCAACGTCAAGATGACTCATCTTCTTTATAGGAAAAATCAAAATTTAGTTCAGCAATCGGAAATCCATCGTTAAAATCTAGCCTCTACATCCGTTACAAATCATGAAAAAGCCGAAGATAAATGACGTTGGACTTTAACCTGGGAAGGGGGTGCCAAATGTCTCCTTACAGGTCCCATGCCTATAGTTAAGTCCGTAAAATAAATGTTGTATTCATTACTTTAGAGTCTCTTCCTTACAAAAAGATGACAAAATGTCTAAAAAAGGACTGTTATGACAATGTTTTGAGGGGAACGACAAGAGAATAGAAGTGACCAGGAACGAGAAATGCAAAACTATGACGAGTAGAAACTTTCACACACTGAAAAATTCTCTTAGCAAGGAAGCATAGGAGGAAAGGATACCGTGGATTAAATGACTAGAAAAGGGGGTTCACGGATTTTGGACACCAAAGAGAAATTGGGTTAGAAATCCAGTATATTGTCAGATATCATTAATGTATGGTACCTAGATAAAAATATCGATTCATCAATATTTCGCTTACCTCAACATGAGTATCATCAACTGAAGCCCTTCACCTTTCAAAAACAGTTCTTTGTTTCCAGAATGTAGCAACGATGAACACAAGCAGTTGAAAAGGTTTTCCATATATTCAATTTCTTCTGAGCTGGTTGGATCGTGCCTTTTGTAGTACTAGAACGGATTAAAATACTCACATAGGCCCGTGACATTGCAGAGTTTTCTTACGATCACATTAAGCGTTAGCCTCGGGGTAGGACAATAGAAATTCAGAGTGCAAGATAACGTTTGCCTGATGAGCGCAATAAGTTGAAACTCGTAGTATAAATTTACAACCGTCCTGTTCTATACACCAACAGCGTGTACAGCTCTGCCTATACAGCATCAAGTAATCTGTAGAAGAGCAGCTAATAAAAATCTTCATTCATTCATTTATTTATTTATTTAGTACTTTAATTATGTATTCACTCATATTTTATACATTCACTATTCTTTTTACAGTTTGATTAGTGCGTTGGAAAATTTTTTTACAGATTTGAATAATAAATTAAGAAAAACATAAACCTATGCATTTAATGTTATGTTATATATTTATAGAGGTCAAAAAGACGGCATTGTATCAAAATGGTATTCAGACGAAGCACTGCATGCCGGGATGAATTTCCACAGAGTTTTATCAACAAAACTTCGTAAAATACTTCTTCATTATGCTGTGCAATTGTTTTTGCTTCTGCTAACCGATCTTTATGATTTCTTTCATCACAAGCTGGCGAAAGGCCTAATAGTTTTAAAAACCTCAAAGTATGATTTTTGATATACATATTTCCATCTTTAAATTATTGCTTTATTTGCTCATTAATTATTCGATCTAGAGGACGATGGAAAAATGATTTAAGTGAGCAAAAACAAAGACAGATGGTAATACGACCTTCGGAAGGAATACCTTCTTTAGGCATTTTAAAGTATACAGTTCATAGCAAAGCATACCATAACAAACATTCTTATCTAAATGCTTTAGCTGCTCAACAATAAAATGTTCAAAGATATGATAAAATTGACAATGAAAAAGCGTCAACAGAGAGCGCAATCAAAGAGAATTTATTCAGCAGATGCTAAGCTGTTTTAATTGAAACCTGCAATAGCTATCGCGTGAATCAATTGACCGCTAATTCCATTTTCATCTTTCGTGTAGCAGAGTTTTCATTCAAAGCGTAATGACAAAATGTGTGTTGAAAGGATTGCTTAAAATCGTGGATTACTCACAGCCAATGCTTGCAATAGAATGTCTACGCCATTCAAATCACCAACAGTTTCTCTGTTTCCTAGAAGAACAGAATCACGTTTTGAGCAAAAAGACCGACTTGATGGCCAAAACTCGATTTCCTGTCTATCTGGTGGCGTAGCAATAGACACTACAGCTCAACACAGAAATAAGGAAAATCGCTTAGCACTTTCAAATAAAAACCTCGAAGTGCATTGTAGCACAGAGCAAAAACACCTCACTGTTGTCTATGCTAATACAAGGATAAGCATAACATACACAGTTGGTAGAATGTTTTTGATCGACCATGTTTTTGAAAAATAGCAATAATATCGCAGTATCAATTCGAAGGCTTTTAGCTTGAGCTACCAAAGAATAAGCAATGTAAATTATTCATGATTTGCATCCATTAAAGGAGGAAATAATAATAGAATTACGATTTAATGGATCTTTGCAAATGGTTTCGCTGATAAGACACTTTAAAAACAACCAGTTATGATAACAACAAAATATGAACAATCCAATACAAGAGAAATAACGGCAGATGGAGATGAACGGAGGTTATGCGTCAAAGACGAACTTTGACAAACGCTACGCGTATGGGATTGCCGTGCTTATCACTTTTTGCATCTTGAATTGGTGCCTTTGTCTCTCACGTTATTCACAAGACGAGAAATAGTACAAAACCCTTTGAGCCTTTGACCTAGGCGTCAAAAGCGAAACTGGGAACCTCAAGCAAAAATTACAATCCCATCCTGGCTCCGCTCCCCTTATACAAAGACAAAGATCTTTATACCTCTTTTGACGTCATGTGCTAGTCATTAATCACTAAAAATAGAATACTGAAACCAAGCAATACCACACACCAGGAAAAGACGACATAGCTAAGTTTAAAATTATTATCAGTGACTATAAAATTTGCAACGGTTGTTGACTTATATACTTTAGAAAAGAAATTATAAGGTGATGAAAAATTCAGCTGAAGTGAATAGGAAACTGAGAAATAGGGGCAAATTATTGACATTTTAGTATATAAAATTACAAACTTTCCTGTCAAATTATGAAAAATATGTGTTCGAAACAGCACTGACTCTTAATGTTGCTGATCTTAAATTCACATGCAACCGTTTTCAATTCAGTTTTGTGGAAGAAAACATGGCTGGCGTGATCAAGAAAAGCAAACCATAGTTTATCATTTGATCATAACGTTACATTACTATATTTGCTTAAAAATACGATAGTGAATTAACTTCCAAAGAAAAATTAAAATCATACCATCATTGTTTTGTAGCATAATTGCAAGTATTTCACTGGTGTAAAGTTTGTTTGCATCAAACCCTTTGACCTAAAAAAAATACTTTCATTTGAAGAGATGTTTCAAAAATATAAAAATGCAACAAACAAGGTACAAGGGTAAAAATAATTTATCAAACTATAGAGCAAAGTTATGCTTACTTTTATTCTTTTCAGGAGCCAGCCAATCAAACCTTGTTCTCCAGCCAGTCCGCAAGTCTCAGATCTGAATTCTGCTAGATTTTCTATAATTGCTGTATAGGATTAATCATAGAAATTATTATCATATAAGAATTTACTTCATATTTGATCATATAGTCGGTTTCACTGTGTTGGCACATAAATAGCAAGCAAGAATAAACAATTATTAAATTGAGACATTCTGGTAAAGCTACAGATTGTTTTGAGATAAATTAATTGGAACCAAGTTATTAAAAGAAAAACAAGAATTCAAAGTTTAGTTGCAGAATATACATTAACTGTGTGAGGTCTCAGTGTAAAGATTACAAGTTCACTCAAGAAGGAGAAGCCCCTACCAAGAGAATTATGAACCCCATCTGCTTCATCTTTATGAGATTCATCTAATCGATCCAAATTTTGAACCAGAACTGCAACGACTTGTGATTCCAGCTAAAAAGATGATAATTATTGTTTGAAAAAAAACAAATCAACTGGCATTTTAAATCTGATTGTCCTTATGAGCTGTGTTTTCTTCCTATAGGCTAAAACTGGACAAAATCCAATCAGCCAAATGGATGGAGTCCATCCAGTGAAATAATTTACATTTGACCATTGGGGAATGCTACTTAATAGTACCACAAAATTCAGGGATAACACTGTAAAGTTGAAACATAGCAAGTATGGGTGAAACAAAGCTGACAAAATAAAGGAAAGAAAACTGAAATAAAATGACAAAATTGCTTTAATAGAGTATAAGAAATGAATAAAATCAATATCCACTAGATGCATGCAAAAATAGAAGTAGCAAAAAACATATTGTTACCAGTGCATCAAAAAGTTGATCAGTTTCCTCATCATCATCTGATACGTTTTCAACATCTGTCATTTCTTGTAATAGGTCTACAACTGCTATGCTGATGTCTACAACCAGCAGAAAAAAACACTAATCAAAATTGTCATGACTGGACTCTTAAAGGTATGTTGACCTTCTCTTTTCTCTGTTCCTCTAATAAGGTTTCAAATTGTCAACCTCAAAAAAATCTAATTTTAAAAATTGTGAATTTGAGCCACATAAACCTAAAAACATACAGCTCCAAAAGTACAAAATTGTTAAAACTGTATCAAATTTGTGTTTTGTCATCAGGTTTTGTGGTAAAAACAATTGGTTGCTTCATAACACAAAATTTTGGACCTCTATTGCTGAAGTCTTAAATGGATAAAAAATGCCGCTGCTTTGTTTGGAGAAGAGGTCTAGATGGAAACAAAATATTTACTTATGATTTTTATCATTTATTATAGTTACGCTAAAATTTAGAGCAATATAGTATTTAGTTATTCCTGCCAACTTCTGCCTACTAAGTCTCATAGCAACATAAAATAATGAGTCAATCTTTTTAATTCCTAAAAGTGTGAAGTCAGTTGAATGTAATAAACCAAAGCCAGATGAATTACCAAACAAAAATGACAAAGCCACAAAACTCTTTCCCATAAATCTACATTATCACAGAGTTATGACTCACCAGTATTTTCATGAGTTATTAGTCCGAGTAATGTGTTCACTGCATTCAGCTTGACAATGATTGGATAATATTGAGGAACTGTAGCTAAAATATGCATCCTTTGAAGCTCATCATGCAAGTCTAGTTCAGATTCCATAAACCTGATTGCAATAAAATGAAAATAATGTTTAACAGCTTGAAACAGTATATAAAATATATATAATATATGTTTTAAAAAATTTCACCTTTAGCTTGAAACTTCCAAAAGACAAGCAAGAATTACCCAAGAAATATAAATCTTATTTGATTAAAGGCCATAAACCTTTACCTTGCCATCATGATGAAGCTATATGGACTTGATGCCCACTGATATTCTCTTGAGAAGAATATCAAAAAATTGATAATGATAAAAAGATGGCTGGGAGGTTTTCGAATAATCTATGTCAGACCTTGCTCTAAGTAAAATGAAGGTGCTCATAGAACCATGAACAATGTTATTTCATGTTTTGGGATAAAATTCAAAAATTTTAAAAATATATTTTTGCAACATCACCACTTAAAAATACTATTGGGGCCTTAAAAACCAAATGTGCTAATAACAAACTTATTGTCTACTAAGTCAATGTCATAAACTATTTAATATTAGCATGTTTAGAAAATATCTAATTAGCTAATAACATTTTCAACAAGCCAGACAAAAGCTGCATTCAAGTAAATTGCAATAAGTTGAATCAGGTTCTTTTTGGTTGGTAAAGGTTTCTTATGGTTGATTTACAACTGATTTTGGAGCTAAAGAAATTTAACAAAACAAAAGGAAATTGCTGACTCTAGTTAACATACTTACTTCACTGGATGATCTGGAAATTTGATCCTCATTTCAGAATTTTTGGTCACTTTCTTCTCAAAAGCAAGAATTGTCCTTTTCACATAGCTTGCATCAATTGTTTCTTCCTGCAATTGTGCAAAATAAAACATAGAACTAAAGCCAGTTCAATGAAAAAATTTCCGAGGATGCCATGAGTGAAAGAAGAAGGAACTAACTGAAGCATTTTCAAGTGAACTGCAATTGACTGCACCTGCAATTCTAGATTGGGAAATTTTTCAAAAAGAGTCACCAAATTAATCATAACATTAAATGACATAATTTCAAATGTGTTTTTATAGCTTAAAACTACTTTATACAGTAGTTGAAAAACTTCTCCCAACCAAGCATATGTATAACTATATTTGATTCATTTGCAACTAAAAGAAAAATTATTGCGAATTTTGAAATTTTTTTGACAATAAAATTTTCACTTTTGTTACCTCCTGGTGTGTTTCTACAGCTGCAAGAATTTTTTCTCTTTCAGCTTCACTCATTTCTGTCTCCTTTGTAAGTTGGGGTGCTCTCTTTTCTTCTGCTTTCTCAACTGCTGGTCTGGCAGGCTGTTGTATACCAGGTTCCTGTTTCTTTAAAATCTTTTTTAAAAAATTATCAACTTCATCAGGTTTTTCCTCTTTAGGTGGTCGATCTCTCTTCTTTTTTTCCTTTGCGTCTTTTTGAGGAACATCCAAAATCTTTCTTTTGTTCCCCCTTTCCAGCTAGCAACCAAAAACATGACATTTTTTAATGGAGGCATTAAGAAATCTCAGAAGAAGGGTTGGCTTGATAATTGGCATATGAAACTCATGTCACTTACAAAGAAGATTTTCAAGGAGGTTTTCTTTGACAGGAATTTCAATGTCACACCAGAATGTTTCTGGAGGAGGGGCTTCATAAAATAAATCATTATTATTCAGATTCACTTTTGAGCTAATCATTAGGGATACTTTTTCTTGAAGGTAGGAACATCAGAGCAATGACGGGACATTCTTTAAATGTAGCTTGGCAGGGTGGTAGAAAAAACACTCAGGAAATACAGTCACAATAAATAAACTTAATCAGGGAGATTAAAAAACATGTTGGTTTAGGGATGCAATGATAGGGGTTCTTCTTAGGACGGTAAATAACCAGCTCATTGGTGGAGCGATGGACTAGGCCAAAGGCCTCAATTAAGTGACACACGATAGATACTGCTTCCTACTGAATCTCTAATTACCCAACAGAAAGACAATATAAAAGTCCCACTACATGTTGACAGACAAACACATTGCCATAGAAAGGCCTCACTAATGCAACAGGACTTAATAGAGCATGTTACTTTAACACGCAACAGAACATTACTAAACTTGCAACAGAACATTACATTCTAGTCATCTTTTGTGACTCAAGCAAGTGACATAGACAATACAATGCCGATATATCAAAACACAGGAAATATAAGTCAGCTGACTTAACCACATCTCAACAAAAAAATGCGTTTAAAAATCAATTCCACGATAAACGTTAGGAATATTTTGGGTACTTAATATATGAACTATAATAGCACTTGGAACATTATCTGGGCAGTTTAAGCATTTTTAAAAAAGAACAATGTTTTGCAATCATCCGGCAATAACATCTTGTGTCTATATGACCTTCATGATATAGCAAGGCACATTTATATTGGGTATTCAATCTTTCTTGGAGGCATTAAAGGTCATTGTAACAATTCGTTTTCATTTGATATTACCTTTAACAAAAGGATCATTTAGTTTTTTTAAACATTACAGACTGAGACGCTTTTAGAATTGTTCATTATTATCATTTTTCGAGTAATTGCTTTTAGAGCGGTCATTTTTAGTGCTGGGCCACTCGTGTGGGCTATTTTTACAAAAAGTTCTGTGAAAAATTTTAAAAATTTAAAGCAAGAATCAGCAGTACAAGAATATATAAATTCCAAATTTCCATGTCAACCATCCTTCTTCTCGTACAATACAAAAAGGAACACCAAATATCAACAAAGTTTCAATCAATTCTTTTCGTCACCGCCATCCGACTCTGCCACAAAATGTAACAATATGGGCTTCTTTTTAAGATGATGAATAACCAGCTCATTGGTAGAGTGATGGGCTAGGCCAAAGCCCCAAATATGTGACACACAATCGATACTGTTTCTTGATGTAATTTCTAATCATCCAGCAGAGAAGACAAACTTAAAATGTGATCAACACACACTAATAAGATAAACAGAAGCTAATTAACAGGACAACACTAAATGTCACACTACATGATGACAGACAAACACATTGCCATAAAAAAGGCATTCACTAACACAACAGGCCTTAAAGGCAGCCTGTCCCCTAATGTGCTCAACTTTATTTTCATGGGAGTCAAATTCACATACCATTGAGCTTGATCAATAATTAAAGGAATTAAACCAATCAGAGACAACTTTGATTCCAGAGCTTTTGGATCAAATGGCTATGTTCCTGTTGTAGTGAAGCTGTGGCTAGAAAAAGGGCCAGCCCCTAAGCTCTGGGGGGGGGACAAACCAAAAAAGTTAAGCCACGCCCTTTTAACCGCCAGAAAATGCTCTTTTACCAACAGGGAGCGCCAATTTCATCCAAAGGGAACGCCTATGACTAACCTTTTTGTTTGAAAATCATAGGATTACATCACAAAAAGTATGGTGTCAAAATATTACCCCCCCCCCAACATTTTCTCATCAAATCTAGACGAAATACACCAATAAACAATAAACAATATACAAACCAATAAACAATAGAAATACAATGGGATATCCGGCGTAAGCTACATGGATTCCACACTGGGCCAGGTTGGAAAACATGTATGATTTTGAGGATGTGTCAATGCGACCAACAGCACATTATCAGCTGGGACCCGCGAGCAGAAGCATTTGAGCTGCAAGCAACGATGCCCATGTATACATTACTATAGAATGATATATTAATTTCTTGATATTTTGGGTCACTAGAGGTGTGAGGTGTGAGCACAAGAAGTCTAACGTCGCTGCGAGCATATGCAAGTTTTCCAGCCTGGACACTGGGATTTGCAGCAGAACTAGTGTCCAAATAAATATTCCATATGGTAGGGTGCAAGTGCTTATTTAAATTGCAGTTCCCCTGATGTCGTGCATCAAGCCACTGAGAAGAAAGCCATGTAGAGCTGAGAGGAACTAAAAATATATAGCTGATCAATGTGTAGTGCAACATCCTTTAGCATTCTTGCCAAGACATTTGCAAATGTAGATAGATGCGTTTGAGTGATATAACACCTTTTTATTGATTAAATTTTGATTGACAGATGGCTGAAGCCCCTTTAGTATATGTCGACTGACTTAGATAAGACGAGTCGTCATGTTGACTTTTTAAAACGCAAACAGAAATCTGTAACTGCATCCCTGATCCTTAGGATTTTAAAAAATTATACAGACTTTGAAAATTAAGTAATACTTACACGGAAATTAAGCACTTCGTTTACATTCATTCTGTCTTTGTCTTTGTTTTGTCTTTCCTTCAAATCTAAGCACTCTCCATAGAAGGCAATCAGCACGGAGACCTCTTTTCCAAACTGTAACCTCTCTATCTTTTCAATTCAATTCAATCAAAGAGGCAGAAAAAAGTTGGTTGGCGGGAAGGCAGATTTTCCGCGCGACGGTTAACCAGATGTAATCAGGTCGAATTATGAATATATCAGCACTTTCTCAGCCGTCTCTGAAGGGATCCAGAGTGCCAACAGGACACGTGCTAGTTCATTTAAAATTCCAAGGAGGCCCAATCATAAAGCTTTTGCAAGGTGATATGAAAAAAATTATGTAGGTGGACGTACAGTGGAAACTGTATTTGTAATCGATGTATCACCAGGCTAGAAAAACATTATAATTTTGTACAATCCTTTTTGGTTTTCTATCAAATCGTATGCCAAGATCTTCCATTGTATATAGCAAAGTTGCCAGTCTGGTGTTTAGATATGTTACAGGCTAAGCTATAAGCCAACATTTACACGATATTATTATTAGTATTATTGTTATAATTTTGCCTCAGGCTAGAAAACTTGCATATGCTCGCAAGTTTTAGAAGAATAATATTATTTTACAGCTAGGATCTCTTGCACTCACACCTAACCCACCAGGTCAACATGTCATAAACTTGTCATGTATGTACAAGCTCAAGGAACATTGCTGGTAGCTCAAATGCCTTCATCCATACTATAGGGGTATGTATGGCTGAGATGCATGACAGAAGTTTTAGAAATTACCAACAAGGAAATAGTGAAATTGCAAAATATATTGACATTTAGTATCAAAATATGCCACGTATGGTGTGCAGTGATAATCACCTGTCTGTTAATGGAGAACAGAAGGTCAATATTCAGTATTTTAGTCACTCAATGATGTGACAAATTGCAGTATTCCTTCTTCCTCTAGAGCCGTTCATTTTACTACCATATATGTTGACATCAAGGATCATATATATAGATGTACATCTTTTTGCTTGGAGAAGCTTACAATCTTATTAAAAAAATACTTAAAAGTTCAGAGGTACTTGAAGTTGGCTGTGATGAATTTATTAGCCTGATTATTTTTTTAAATTCCATGTCAACAAGCGAATCAACTGACAAAATTAAAACGTTTTTCATTTTTCAAAATCAAGCTGTTTCTTAGTTTTTGCTTTGAGTGTCCAGTACTTTTTTCTTATAACAAGTTGGAAAATTGGTGTATAAAAAGTCAAATGTAAAATTTCATTTCACTATGTATAAAATGTCAGAAAGCAAAGATGATTTGCATAAATTTATTTCAATTCAAAGTTTGAGTTTGTTATCATTTTAGAAACTGGTATCACCCCAGTAATTCAAGAGGGGCTCGGTGTGGTTGACTTCTACCCATCAAATTCAATTTCTGTTGTTTGGATAACAGAGGAGGTGATCATTGGCTCTAGCAGCTCTGTGCTAAAGAAGATAAAGAAACTTGATGAGGTATATACAGATTTTACCTCTAACTTCATTGTTGTATTGAAAAATATAAACAATTAGATTGACTATCTTTTCTCGAGCAAGTTTCACACAAAAAAGAAACTGTATGCATCAGTCTTGCTGACCACTTGTCTTTCCTTAGATCTCAGTAAAAAGTGCACAAGTTTTAAGTCTGATTTTTAATATACCATACATAACTTGTTTATTGGTGGGCTGCTATTATGTTATTAGATTATATGCATGTTTTATGCCCTGGGCTATTAGGCATGGCACTACTTGGAACAAGACTCTTTCAGCAAATGGTTTATACTGCTGCTTTTCTAAGGACACACTTACAATGAATGTGCCCTGCCCATCTTTTCAGGAAAGTATTTATTCTACCCCCTCCTTTTGTTCGTGTGAATCAAGCTACCTTCACAGGTACTATGACAATACCTTGTTGGAACATGCAAACCTGACCTCCAGCAATATCATTCCAAAACTTATGCAGATGAAGTATGTTACAAGTATGAGACACAAAAAGATTGTTTTGATATGCGATTTGGAATGAATTGTTATTGAAGTATTGAATTGGTGCATTAAGCACCTGTTTCAATTTTTTTCCGTTTTATCTTTAGCCCCTTGTATGGGAAGAACATGCTTTTTCTTTTCAAAATTGGGTATGAAATGGCTGGCATAAGAAAATGTGTTAATTTTTTCCTTGTTCTTTTACTGCCATTTTAGCAATTATATCAAATATATAGAGGAATCTCAGAAAGGGTGCTTGGTTTGGAGGCCCCAGCCATCCCAATAGGCTCTTCAATTATTTATATGTATTCTTAAATAACTAACAGCAAAGGGTACTTTAAATTTTGGTTTTTTCAAAAATATCTTTTCTTTTTGGGTTTGTTTACATTAGGGAAGATGCAGTGGCATTGCATTGGTGGAAGTCACAGAGCTGAGCAAACAGTACTACAAAGAACTGCAGCTTTCGACAATGGTTGATTTCAATGTGCCACTGATCCCTGTTAGATCAGTGAATGAAATGGCAAAAGTTGTTGCCCAGTTAGTAAGTCGATGTTTGTATAAATGATCAAACACTGTATCTTTGAGATCATTAATTGTTGAAGTCAACCTAGAAATATACCGACCTAGCAATAACCAAAGTTCCCAGCAATGTTTAACAGACTACTCATTTGAATTCTCTTTGGAATACTCATTCCAATTTAAATGCTTTTGATACTGTTTGTATGTTGTATCTTACTTAAAATGCATTTTTTACACTGCTTTAGGTTTACAGCAAGTCTCAACCAAATCCAATAATTAAATGCTCAAGAAGTGGTATAAATATGGATGAATCGGTTCTAGCCACACTTAAATCTTTTCCAATGGTAGGAGGAAGGAAGGCTGTCAGCTTGATCAATAAATTTTCAAGTATGTAAAAAGAAACCACTTATAAACTGAATGATTTTAGTCCTATTTTCTAAGTTTCGTAACTTGCAGCCTGCAACCGTATTCTGCTAATATTATTCTCCAACAAGAGAGATAAAGAGTTTTTTTTCTAGATTTCTTTTATAAATAAGCCCTCACCCTCAAATAAGTCCCCATGGGCTAAGATATTGCCTCAACAGCAACACGTTTTTCTCAATACAGTATAATCCGGTTATAACATACTTTAAGGGACCAGGGATCAAGTATGTTATATCCAAAGTACGTTGTAACGAGGGTAAGTAAAAATTAACTAAAACCAAGCACATCTTTTGCCGGGACCAAGTACACCAGTACGCTATATCCGAAAGTATGTAATAACCGAGTATGTTATAACTGGATTTTACTGTACATCTGCATTTTTAAGCACACTGGCCAGCCTAAACTAGAAGAAGAAAATTTCCCTTGGTAACATTTGTCTGCTGCTAGTTAATCCCCCACTCCAAGGTATTTTTGGCGATATTTTTCCCTGCCTGAATGTTGAAGACTACTGTTATATTCTTTTGATGCCATGTAAACAAAGCTGTTCACTGTTTGTTGTGTTGAACTGGACTGCTCTGTGCCTCTACGACAGGTTTCATGCTTAAGGACCACACAATAGTGATGACATTATTTAAATCTATTTTTGAATTTCAAAATTTTGACCACCTTAACAGAAAGAACACAGTGAAATATCTCTAGATGTGTAAAGGCAGTTAAATTGGTTGGAGATTTTCTGGAATATGACCAATGGAAGATTTGAACTTAACCACTCGATTGCTGTTATTTTGCCTATGACTGTAGTCAATGCTGGCATGAAACTAAATCAATTTGAACCATTGTCAAATTCATCATCTCTTTGCCACTAGTTTGCTCTATACCACAGCATGTACTCCTGCTTTTTATAGTTGGAAGTTAAAGCTCACATTTTGTGATTTGACAGTGACATTCTGAAAGTAAAAAATTATTTTCCTAATCAATTTGTTTTTATAATCCCTGCTAAAATTTTGAAGCATTTCTTGTTTCATTGACATTTTTTCATCAGGTATTGACCAGATCAACAAAGCATCAATTCAGGTATGTTTTATTACTAAACCATAGAGGATTTTGCAAAACATGTGTCCTTTTGAATTACAAGTTGAAACAAGTTGATTCACAAGCCATTCATTATGTCATTTATTGCTAACATGAACCAAAACTTTCTTTTCAGGAACTTGAAGCCCTTGTTGGTCGACCAACAGCACTGCATGTAAAAGGGTTCTTAGAAGGAAAGAAGGCAAGGTGAAGTTTATGCATCATATGTTCTGTCAATTTTCAAACCAACCTTCGTTGAGCCATTAACATAAGCTGCAAACATTCTGTCAAATCTCTTTGTTCTCAATTCCCCTCATAAAAGTCCAAAAGCAACATCAACTTTCCTTTTAGTTAAGAAACTTATCATTCTGAGCTTCTGAACTTGGAAACAAATTGCGATTCTTTGCAGTAGTAAAGGACAATTCATCCCATTGATTAATTTATTGATTGGCTAAAGTATTCCTTCCTTGTCTTATTTTCTAATGACATTGAATTTTATTATATGACAAATTCAAAAGATCAATTTGTAATGCTGACTCAACATCATGAATCTGTATTTAATGAATTTGGTTTAATTGTTGCTCAATAGATTGTATTTTGCTTTCCTTTGCCCTCTCAAGACTGTGCATTTTGTACCAGTGGCACTTACTGCTTTGTTTGAGAATACGCATTTTGTACAATTGTCATTTTCTGCTATGTTTGAGAATGCAGATTGTGTACCTTTGTCACGATCGGCTAAGTTTGAGAATATGTATTTTGTACCATTGTCACTTTCTGCTATGTTTGAGAATGCACATTTAGTACCCTTGTCTCTTTTTGACCCTTTGTACCATTGACACTTTCTGATCACGCTTTGTGTATGTGCATTCTGTACTATTGTCACTTTCTGCTATATTTGAGAATGTGCCATTTGTACAATTGTACAATTGACCACACTTGAGTGTACTCATATTGTCCAACTGACTTTTTCTGACCACGCTTGAGAAAGCTGGCATTTTACCAGATTCACCTTCCGAACAATGCTCATTTTTACTAGAGTCATTTTATGCTCTCGTTTGACTTGACATCACTGATCTAAAAGCAGACGTGATTTCTTTTATTTTGGTTATCCAGGCCAGTTTCAGATTTGAAGTGTCCTAGATAGATTTCCCACAAACTTAAATCCCACATCCGCTATTCGCCTACAATCTTTGGTAGAATTGTTTGTGCACCTGCCCCAAATCTTAATTGTCTTCGCAAATTTTTTCTTCTTTTCTGTTACAATTTGCTTAATTTCAATGTTGTATGGTTTGAAGTGATAAACTGGCGTGGGTGCATAAACACCACAAGTAATGAAATCAACAGAGGGGAGACAAATTCAAACAAAGAAGGCTGGGGGCTAATCCTATCCATCGGTTGCCAACTTTTAAAGACATAATACTGTGGAGTTTAGGCTACATGCTTTATTGGGACCCATGGTACAACAAAGGATCTTTATTTAAGTTTCACTCTTTTGGCACCCTTTAAGTTATGGCCTAAAATAAGAAATTTTTACAGATTCACACTTTTTATAAAAATTGGGCGTGGTACTTTGCTGGGATTGGCATCATGGGCGTGGCAAATATAGAAACTGCCATGTCATAGTTGCATGTCCTAATTGGGCAAATTCTTTAAATGAATGAAGTATAAGTAGCAAATACTGATTCTTTACAATATATGGATTTGGTTAAAAAGAATATTAGCTAAATATAGCGATGTCTTAATGTGTGAGCAAAAAGTTATCAAAAGGAAACTCTTTTACATGGTTTGTTCGGATCTCTTTAAAAGTTATTTTTTATTTCCTTTCACCTTCAAAAACTCCCTTAAATCAGCCTTGCTTGCCAGACTTTGGTGTTTTTTTTGTTTTTGGGAGCCATATCTTTGCAGCTTTTCTCGGAACTCGAAACTTGCGAGATAAAGCATACTCATTGCAATATTTATCTATTTGTTAAGTTTTTTCTGGAGCTATGCTGCTTTCCCCACCTGCCTCTATCTTGTTGTAGGTGGGAATCAGCATCTCGAATTTCAAAATTGCAAATGATGAATGATGAAACAAAGTTAAAGATAACAGACAGTTTTTGATAAAAGCAAATGAAAGTTTTGTAACCTACAAAGCAAATTTTGATTACGATATCACTCCCAATAATTAGAAAAATTAGCTTTTTGTATACTGCGTTTAGCTGGCCGCATTTGGCTGCCAACCACAAAATATATGGTTGCCAACCATTCAAAACAACTGACAAAATTCTGAAGGTGGAAAGTCACAATTTACCCCTAAATAAAACCACAGATGCTGGTGTAAAGTGTTTCCATTTGGTAACCATAGACAATGAATCAGTGGAAACAATGATTCTTTTAAATAATATTAGAATTATGCCAGAGTTATGCTAGATTCCAAATCATGCTAGATTTTATGCTTAATGACGATTTTTGGCCAATATTATGCTAATATTACGCTAGATCAGGCCACACTGGCACCAGCACCAGCCCATAATGGAGTTGCTTGAACGATACTAAAAGGCTTGCCCCTAAATTTTTTTACGACCACGCCCTTTGAAACACCGGGAAACACTCCTTTCAGAAAATAGTCGCTTTTATCTGTCCTTATTCATAAGCATAACGATTTAGAGAAGATTTCAATTAACATAAAAATACAAAATCGAGTTAGATAAAATACAAATTTATCTTTGACCACACAAGATAAAGCACCATCAAAAAGAACAAAAACGTGTTCCCAGCAGAACTGCTACTAATGCGTTCGTTAGCGTAAATGTTTTCAAAACATTTACCCATTATTGCAAAAAAGTTGGGGAGGACTGTAGTCCCTGTCATGCAACATTCCCAATTGAATGTTCCTTCCAGCTACCACCGAGAGGCTTATCATCGTTCAGCTGCTGTAGCCTTGAGAGGAATTTTTCCAATGTTTCTCCAATTTGAAACACCTTAGTTGAATTGCTTTGTAGCTTTTTCTGAAATCTACTGAAAGATATCACATAAACCCCAAAATACATTACGGGCAGGAGATCATAATCTCGGTCTTGGTCTTTAGGCTCAGTGTCTTTTTTGAAGCAAATCATAAAAGCAAACTAAATTGAGATGATGTCTTGAAATCCAAGTTGTATACAGAGTCCATCTTACTTCAAAATAGCACACAACAATATCATAAAGCGCAATTGATTTTTCTCCGCATGTACTGGAGCTTCGAGTTCTGAAGTTTCTTAATTCTTTTTAATTGTCCATTGCTTATTTCTTATCGCAATTTTCTTATAAAAAATGTGTGCAATACATGAGGCTGGGATTATGCAGTCACTTCGAATTGAAAAAATTTTCCCATTTCTTCCTTAGGCGTTTCGATTGGTATTTTATGTTGCACTTTTAAGAACATGCATTATTTACAAATCCACACTTTCTACAATTACAGATCCACAATTTCAATTTACAACTCCACAAAGTGTCAGATCCACGCTTATTTAAGGCCCTGCAAGTTCAAAGGGTTCAAATCCCTGTTTTGTGCGTTCTTGGTTTTAGTGTGTTTATAAAGTCCGGTTGCCAGTTAACCCTTAACTTTGCTTTAAGATCCTGACAGGTTCGAATGTGTAAATCTGTAATTTAAACCGTGTCAAAATCTTGCGTTTTTCAGGTTATTTGTGAGATTAATTTCTTTTGCTAGTAATTTTGCCAGCTATACCAGCAAAGCATCTCAGGTTTTTCTTTTTCTTCATCAATTATTGATTGTGCTTTTTACACCTACCTGCAAACAATGTACAGTGTAGTTTTTCGGGGCTCGACACGATCTCTCTATCAGCGATGTTGAGTTGAAAAGCTGTATTTTATAACGTGATGACGTCATGGCAAGTCAATTCAAAATTTTAAAATATTTATTATGCAACCGAAAAAGGATTGTGAAATAGCCCTACTAATGATAAAACGGTCGATTCTAACCAATATTTGCTTATATATAGCAAAATTAGTACGTTAATTTTCAGTTCAAAATCAAATCTTTTTGCAAAACTTATCTTCAGTTATGACGTCATCCCGTTCAGCGCGATACGTGCCCCGAGACCTGGGTGTCAGACTTAATAACAAAGAGAGGCACACTACTACCCAGTTTCTCGATACGCAACTAGGGCAGAAAGGAATACAAATTGAAAATATCCCTTTGAAATAGCAAAGAAGTTTTGGTAGTGTTTTGTATATCTTGGCAATAAAATATGGCGATAGAGGGTTGATGGTGAGGGACAGGGCACTTTTCAAAAGGGTTCATGCTCATCACTGGAAATCGTTCGGGGTTTATAGACAGGTGTTTCAGATTGAGACATGCCAAAAAACCCTGGTTTGTTACAAGTGCTAGATAGACTGTTGCACACAATTTTTTGAAAGACAATTATTTGGTTTCGATGTGTCTTTACCAGGACATTTGCTAAGAGAAGTTAGCTTTTTAGCTTTGGAAATGAAATCTTTGCTTTGTTTGCAATGTATTGCATTTAGCAAAATGTTCATGGCTTTGTGATCACAATGTTTCCATAACGAATCATTTTAGAGTGAGTCTTGAGGCATCAAGATTTGAAATTAATTACTGTTATTTCTACGAAATTTCGTAGCATTTCGTAGTCAGTATACAAAAATTTTATTGCTCTGGATGTAACTTTCTGAAACTGTCACGTAAAACGGTGATGTTGAATTCGTAAAGGCCTACAATCGAAAGGAATGGCGTTCAAAATTATGGATTTCCTTTCAAAAAAGGCTCTGGTACCGATTTAGTTGTGTAGAATTTTACAGACGAACGAAACACGCGGCGGAAAAATGTCTAACAGAGCAAGATCGCTGAAACAGCGATTGGTTAAAAATGCAAAGTTAACGATTCGGCAATTTTATGGCTTTTAAAAAAAAATTTTCTAAGCAAATAACCTCGATAAGAGCCTTGTTGAAAGAAAATATAAAGGAATCTAAAGGTTTTTATGGCTATTACTAAAACAGGGAATGGGGAATCAGGGAGCCGGGAAATCGGGGAACCGGGGAATATCGAAACCACTAAGCCAATAGAGTTCTAAAATGTGACGTCATCAAAAACTTGTTTAGAATTTTTGAATGTTAACCACATAGCGTAAAAGATCACCATGAAATACTTTCAAATACGCAAAATTGGCCAAATATGTCTAAAATCGGTTGAGATATGGCTAATGAAAGATTTGAAGTTTGCTAACGAATCACTGTTATTTTCGCTCTGTTCATAAAGTTATGATCAGAGACCAAAATACAGAGGTTTGATGGGGAGAGAACCAATAAACATGTGGCCATATCTCTGCCATTTCGTAATACACTTGACTGATTTTGCAAATTTACAGGCATTTCATGATGCTCTTTCAGGTTATGGGATTCAAATAAAAAAATTCTAAAAAAATATTTTTATGACGTCATCAATTTAGAACTCTATTTACCGGTTTTATATCTTGTACGAAAGGTCTTTGCGTAAGTACTTCATCTCTAAGATCATCAAAGTTAACATTGTTATCGCTCTTCTCATCACTACCTAATAGCAGTAGTGTAGAGCCAAAAATGTAAAGGGGGGCATAGAGCATTCTCTATATTGTATACAAAATGGAAATTTCGGTTGTTTTCGTTTCGTTTGCATGGCTCATCAACATCAATTTATTTACCTTTTCTTTTTTCTAGGGTTGAATCATTTTCCAATGTCTACTCTACCTGTTAGAGTAGAGAAATCTACCTGCTTGAGTAGAAAAGTCTTAAAAATGAAGAAATTAAAGTAGTAATATTTTGCCAGCAT